GCTGTGTGACCTTTAGCAAAACACCTGACCTCTCTGGGCCTTGGATAATTAGAAATCGCCCACCTCTTGGAACTTCAGTTACCTCATCGGCTAAATGCACCCAGAAGAGCTGTCCTGGGGGGGGCTAGGATTCAGAGACGGGGACAGCAGAGAAGGCTCTGGAACACAGGACCAATTGCCAGTTCCTATCCGAACCAGCTCTGAAACCAACAGCCAGTTTCCTCCATCCCTGTGGAATGCAGAAGAGATTTTTCTTTTCTTTTTTTTTGCTGATTAAGTGCCCCCCAAACCCCCCTTTAAGAATTTTAATAAAGAAATGCAAAAATCAACAAAAAAGTTCAGCAAACCCTTTCCTGTTATTAAATAAAGGGAAAGTAAATATTGCAAATTGCACATAACTTCCTAAGAGGATGTTTTGTTTGGACGGAAAAAAAAATGAGAAAGAAAAGAAAAAGCTATTTGCTTTCTGGAAGCAAAAAAAAAAAAAAAAAAAAAACATGTCTTTGCTGCAATTTGGTTTCAGATTTGATGATGGGGACATTATTCCTGGTTGGCCTGGAATGTAGACCTTTTGACATCTAGGACGGATGTACCCAGGGAGGCAGGGAGAGCCAGGTTGGGGACCTTGTTGGGTCTCTTCTCCCCTTCTGTCCTGTGTGAGCTGAGCCACCCAGGGAAATGATGAGCCCAAGATCAGAAGTGGGGAGGAGGATCACACACAAGAGAAAAGCAACTCAAAACAAAGAACAGGTTTAGGTTGTTCTGAGAGAAAGGGAGAAGTTGCTCAGGGCCCTCGCTAAGTGGCTGAGGCTGGCCTCCAACTGGCGATCCTCCTGCCTCAGCCTCCCGAGTTGCTGGGATGACAGGCGTGCCCCCCACCGCGTCCCTGGCTTGATTTCCTTTTAATTCTTTGTAGTGATTAACAGTGTTCCAAGGACAGTAGCACTCAAGATGGGACACGCTGATCACCACAGCCCTGGAAGACGAGAAAAGACATAAGACAGAATCGCCCTTATTTTCCACCTGGGGCACTTGGCATTTGAGAGTGAGCATCTTCTGTCTGGGGGACCCATGTGAAGAAGTGATCTAGGGCTGGGGTGTGGCCCAGTGGCGGAGCCTAGTCTAGCCTGGGCCAAGCCCTGGGTTCAACCCCCAGGACCATAAAAAAAAAAAAAAGAAAAGAAAAGAAAGAAAGAAATCCAAAGTCCCCTTTGCTTTGTGTATATTTTAATTTACATAAACAGTGTCATGGAATTCCTATCATTCTGCCTCTTGTCTTTGTCACCAAACATAGTTTTGAAATTTAACCATGCTGAGCTCTATCTATAGATATAGATATTAACATCTATTTCTTTCTCTGTCCGTTCCTTTTAATGGCTGCATAGTATTCCAGTATGTGACCATTTCATATCACATTTTATGTATCTATTTCCTTTTTTTTTTAAATCACAAACCACCACGCTTTGATACAAATCTTGGTGTCTCTTTGGATATATATGCTCAAGTTTCTCCAGGAAACTGACCCCCAAGTAAGACATGTCGGATCATCGGTGGGAAGACACTTGGCAGGAGCAAGGCATTCCTGGGATCCGATCTACCCTCCGACGCTTATTCCCTGTGTGACCTTGGGCAGGTCATTTCACCTCTCTGAATCCTTTTTTTAAAAAAATATGATCATTATTATTATTTTTAGTTATAGATGGACAAAGTACCTTCATTTCATTAATTGATCTTTATGTGGTGCTGAGGATGCAACCCGGTGCCTCACCCGTGCTAGGCGAGCGCTCCACCACTGAGCCACGTCCCCAGCCCTGAATCTGTCCCCACGTGGGGACCCCTCGATTCCCCTTGGCCTAGCCCGGGGTCAGCAGGGTAAATGAGGAAGCCTTTGTACCCTTGGAACCTCAGTTTCCTTGCCTGCAAAATGGGATGGGACTAACTGCTTCAAAAAGGCTGTCGTGGGACCTGGGAGCTAGACAGGACATTGTGACCAACTCCCCCAGCCTGCTCATCTGGATGCTTCAGAGCCTTTGCATTTGTCTGTCTGTCTGTCTGTCTGTCTGTCTGTCAAGAAGCCCCGGATCCTTCTTGGGGTACTGGCTCTCTTCCTCCCTGCAGCCCGAGGGGTTGAAATTTGCTGAAACACCCCCACCTGGTGGACGCCCTCAGGTACTGCAGGGCTTGGCCCAGCCGCAGGGAAACAATGGGGCGACGGCTGGGGCGGCCCTGCCCTGCTCAGAAATGCCGGCGGCTCCCCATTGTCTACAGGGCAAAGTCCAAAAGCCAAGCCTGGAATCCAAGCGCCTCCACCACCGGGCCCAGCCCTACCTATCAGACCTTATCACAGCTTGGACCTCCTGTCCCCAGCTCCTCCCTGGCTCCAGAACCTCAAAGCCCATCCCAGCCTCCCACGTGGGCCTCCCCTGAGCCAGATCCCATCTGCAAGGCTCATCCTACTTCCCCCCCCCCCAGGTGAACCCTTCTTCCGGGTTCAGCTCAGGGGCCACCTCCTCCAGGAAGCCCTCCAGGCCCTTGCTCTTTTGTTTTCCTGACGGCCACTCCCCCAACACTTTGTGGGAGCTCTGTTTATATTTCTTTATCAAAAGCTGCCTTCCGGCCTCCTGGTAATCCACAGGAGAGGCTAGAATCCAAGCGCTGGACCTGGTCCCAGGAACCAGGATCATGAGACCACAAGCAAGTGAAGCAGCCTCCCCCCGTACGGTGACACCCATCTCACTGGTCTGTTAGGAGAACGATGGATACAGAGGTTGGCACATAGTAAGTGCTCAATAAATCGCCACTGGTGCTGGGCGTAGGGGTGCCTTCCTGTCATCCCAGCGACTCTGGAGGCTTAGGCAGGAGGATCACAAATTCAAGGTCAGCCTGAGCGATTCAGCTGGACGTTGTCACCAAATAAAAAAATAAGCCAGGCGTGATGGCATACGCCTGTCGTTACAGGAACCCGGGGAGGCTGAGTCAGGAGAATCACAAGTTCAAAGCCAGCCTCAGCAACTTAGCAAGGGCCCTAAGCAACTCAGCGAGACCCTGTCTCACTGATTTTTAAAAATCAAAAAGAAAAGGGGGTGTGGATTCGGGGGGTTCAACACCCCTGGGTTCAATCCTGGTACCAAAAGAAACAAACTCACAAGATACCAAAGGCTGAAGGTTGCAAAGTGATAGGTTTATTAGGTGACTCTCTCTACTTTTGTGCACTAAAAAACCTTATAGAAAATCACCTTTGGGTTGTGAGTACGAGGTGTACATAAAACGGGAATGAATTTCCTGTTTCGAGTTGGATTTCCATCTCCCAAGATGTACATGCAAGTATTCTGAAATCCAAAACGCTTCTGGTCCCAAGAATTTCAAATTAAAAAAAAAAAAAAAAGTACTCAGCCTGCAAATTGGCATGTTCTGGTGTGACATTACAACCCTCCCAATGGATGCCCCATCCATTCCTTTACCACTTGCAGTGGTTCGGGTATGAATTCACATGTGGCAGGCTTGGACCTCAGTGTGGTGGTAGGACTCGAGAATGAGGCCTAGCAGGACATCCTTAGGTGACTGAGGGGCACTGCCCTCAGAAGGGAACACTGGTCTCCGTGTTATGGGTTCTCATGAGAATGAAATGGCTGAGTTGATTCCTGAGTTGCTATCTGGCTTCTTGTTTGATGTGATCTCTCCCTCTCACATTCTGCGGTGACGATTTGCCCCTGAATCTTGAGCTACGTAAACCTCTTTTCCTTATAAAAATTTCAGCCTCAGGCATTTTGTCATAGCCGTGGCAAAGAGTAAGACACTAGAATTCTGCAAATCTTGACAATCTTCTCCCTGTCCACCCCCACTTTTTTTTTTTCAACATTCTCACCATGAAATTCATTTGCCTTTTCCCATCTGAAGCCTGCACTTCCTAGCCTACCACAGTCAAAGCCCAAAGCAGCCAGTGAATGCCACATCATGCTCACAGTCTGGTCAAGGAGGCTCGGCAAAAGAGAACAATCTAGGCTGTGTCAGACACTATTGCAGAACACAGAGATTCCCCCAAGCAGGTGTGAAAAGGCAAGAAGTTTCCTGGAAGAGATGAGAGATCTGAGCTGAAATCTAAAGGATGCCCAGAAATAACTGTAGCAAACAGAAGGGAGAAAGATGTTCCAGGCAGTGACCACACAATGTGCCAAGATCTGGAGGCGAAAGGACATTGGAGAAGATCCAGAATTTTAAAAGTCTGTGGTCAACACTCAGCTGCATGAATCTCTCCAGGGTTAATCACCCACCTCCAGGGTCGTCCCAGATCTGTGCGCTGGAGAACCTGTCAATCAACTGTGGGAAGGTGTCTATGGGACCCCCCACGAGGGCCTCCTTGAAAATAACCAGGTAAGCAATAACTAGTACAGGTCCCGTGCGTGGCCCTCTCTCATAATCCTGACCACCCAACTTTCAGTAGAGAAAACTGAGGGTCACAAAGTCAAGTCACTCGGTCAAGATCACAGTCAATGAGGGCAAAGATGGAGATTCTAACTAGGCTGGCCTCTGGGGCTGAGGTCCTGGTTAAGATGCACAAAACAACTACAACACCCTGGCTTTGGTCTCGTGTCCAGTAGAGAGAGCACCCCCCTCCCCAGGATGTAGCTATCTATGCACATGCGCTCTACGACCCGCGTGTTGCACCCAGAGCTGGTTCCCAAGGGCCACAAGCCCTCTAATGAAGTTTATGACATTACACAGATAGCTTCGTATCTCGGGTGCAAAATGACTCTTGTAGGATCGATGAGAGGAATCAAGGAGAACAGCATCTGTGCATAGAGGCCGTGCGCACGACGCCAAGGAAAGAGACATGGAAACCCGGGACACGCAGCCTCAGCTGCAGCCTCCGCTCGCAGCCCCGTGGGTGCAGAAAACACCCGCCTTCGGGCCGTGCGCAGGCGCACTCCGCTAAGACCGCGGCGGGATGGGCGGGGCGTGCCGCAGTTCCGCGGCTGCGCACTCGGCTCGTTTTGCGGCCGCGCTGCTTGACGGCAGCGGCGTCGGCCCGCCCTCCCCGGCCGGCGTTCCCAGGTAACGGAAAGCGCGTGGCGCTGAGGAAGGTAAGGTTCCGGAGGAGCTGGCGGCTTCGCGACGCGGGCAGCGCCACGGCCCAGTCTGGTGGGCCAATTCCGCATCCCGAAGAGACAGGGTTCCTACGGAAGCCCTCCAGGGCGAGGGCGGAAAGGGCCCAGAGGCCGATTTCCCGGGTCGGCCGGGCTTGGAGCGCGACGTCCCACCTGTAGCGCTCGGTGTCACGCGGGACCCTGGAGCCTGCACACCCCAGGAATTTTCTGGAAGGTTTATTGGCTGCAAGTTCCGGGGGGGGGGGCCTTGGAGCTTTGCATTTTTATAGGAGTCAAGTAAGAGGTTATTTTTTTTCCCCCTTGAATTCACAGAAAGTGCTTTTTATCTTTTTTTTTTTTTTTTTAAGATTAGTCTGAGGTTTTACAAAAGCAGAAGTGACATCATCATCATCATCAAGTCCGCGGCCACATTTCGTTTTTGCAAGACAGAGTAACTTAGGTCTCCCAAGAAATAGGAAGTCCCATCCCACGTTGAGGGTTTTTGTTTTTGTTTTTTAATTTTTTTTTTTTTTTTTTTTGGTAGAAAAGAGAAACTTGTGTGCTTTAAATATGGTGGGGGGTTCTGCCTCATTATGGTAAGGGTCTTCTGGGTAGGAGTCTCTGATCGTCTTCAGGTTCTTCGTGGGGACACTGGGCGTTGTCCTGCACTAGGGGCTTGGGGTGTCCATCAGTGCCTGTGCCCCTGAGGAGACTCAGCCTCTAGTGGGGTTGGGGCGAGGGGGACCCGAAGGCAAGGAAACCATCAAAGGGACAAGTGAAGGCAAAAAGTGGTGCTGCCCAGAGTGTGGCTTCTGCGCAGTTGTGTATTGCAGTTGCATCTGCCATCTGGTGAGCACATCCCAAGTGGTAGGACTTGTAAGGTTCCTTCTGCACTAAATTACCCATTTAATTCTGACAGCACCCTTCAAAGGTTGGTCCTTTGTTGATGTGTCTTCTATGTTCTAACTTGAAAGCTCCCCAGAGGCAGGATTTGTTTGCCTTATCCCTTTCATCCTTGTTTCCCTGAGCCCAGGAGGTATTGCAATTGGAGCTGGGTGTTTTTAAATCAGGAGACAGAGAGCTTTGCTGGGTGGGAGGCATGTTTGGTGCCTGGTCCTAGGGGGTTGGAAAAAATTAAGTGGAACCATTTCCTCCCCTGTCATTTGTTCTTGGATAGGCTTTTACTCAGCCTCTAAAAGGTGTCAAGTTGTTGGCACAAAGAAAGAATAAAGAACAGGCGCTTACTTTTGATAGAAAGTAAATATACTTAACCCAGGCATGCTGGGGTTTGGGAAATGAAAAGTAACAATCCTTTATAGGAGCACTCAGCCCCCGCTTCCACTTTTCTCATCTGTACATTGGGAATAAGAATAGTACTGAGCCAGTCGCCTGTAATCTCAGCAGCTTGGGAGGCTGAGGCAGGAGGATCACAAGCTTCTGACTAGTCAGGCCAACTTAAGTGAAACCCTGTCTCATAAAGGGCTGGAGAGGTAGCTCAGTGGTAGAGCACTTGCCTAGCATGTGCAAGGTCCTGGCTTCCATTCCCAGCACCAGAAAATCAGCAACAACAAACACAACTTTTGCTTGCAAACTCCCTAGCTACTGACCCCGTCTTACCTATTCATTTTCCCGTGCTTCAGACAGGCTTCCTCTTTAGCCCAGTCTAGTTACCATGCCCTCCCTCCCTGCCTTCCCTCTTATGTCCCTGAGCAGTGGGGGCTTTGGGTATAGATGACCTGTCCTCTTTGAGCCTCCCTTTCCTTGTCTGTGATTTGAAATGAGGATCGCAGTTCTCACAGGTCACGTATGTGCGCATGGTACAGGTCTGATCCTCAGCATCATAAATAAATAAATTATACACACACAATGGTCTTAATATATGTGCCCCCTTTGCTTGACTATATATATTCAGCATTGGGCAGCTATTACATTGTAGTCTAATTTTAGAACATTTTCATCACCCCCCCCAAAAGATAAATCCCATATTATTAGCATGGCTCCTCATTCCCCTTTCCCCAGTCCCTGGCAACCACTAATTCATCTCCAGCGATTTGCCTTTTCTGGATAGTTCATATTTATAGTCTCATGTGATCTTCTGTACCTGGCTTCTTTTTTTTAATATGTATTTTTTAGTTACAGGTGGACACAATATCTTTATTTTTTTTTTAGGAGGTGCTGGGGATTGAACCCAGTGCCTCAGACATGCTGGGCGAGTACTCTACCTCTGAGCCACAAACCCAGTCCCATACCTGGCTTCTTGCACTCGGCATAACACTTTCAAGGCTGATTCATGTTGTAGAATGTACCAGGACTTTTTCCTTTTTTATGGCCAAATAATACTCTATGATATGGATAGAGCACATTTTGTCAGCCAGTTATCTGTTAATGGACACTTGGATGGCTTCCATTTTTTGGCTATGATGAATAATACGGCTGTGAACTTTTATGTACGAATTTTGCCATATGTTGTCAGTCCTGAATCTGCACATAGGAGTGGAATCACTGGATCATATGATGGCTCTCTGTTTGACTTCTTGTTGGTGGTACTAGGGGTTGAATCCAGAGGTGCTTTATCACTGAACTGCATCCCCAGATCTTTTTACTTATCTATTATTATTATTATTATTATTAGTTGTAAATGGACACAATAGCTTTGTTTTATTTTTATGTGGTGCTGAGGATTAAACCCAGTGCCTCACACGTGCCACGCAAACATTCCACCAAACCACAACCCCAGTCTCTTATGAGACAGGTTCTAAATTGCCCAGGCTGACCTTGAACTTACAGTCTTCCGGCCTCAGCCTCCAAAGTAGCTGGGATTACAGAGATGTGCCCCCTATGCTTGACTATATTTGACATTTTGAGGACTTGCCTCACACATCTGCAGTCCTGTTCAATTTGAAGATGAAGAATCTGGGTTGTGCAAGGCCACAGAACAACAATGACAACTTGCATGTATGAAAGACTCATGATTTGAGCCAGAGTTGTGATGCACATCTTATTGTCACATAGGCAGGACTTTTTTTTTGTTCTTTGTTTTTTTTGGTGCCGGGGATTGAACCCTCCTGAGCCACATTCCCACCCCTTTTTATTTTTTGAGATCGTCTCATTAAATTGCTTAGGACCTTGCTAAATTGTTGGGGCTGGTCTTGAACATGTGATACTCCTGCCTTAGTCTCCCAAGCTGCTGGGCTTACAGGCGTGCACCACTGCACACAGTACATAGACACAATTTACCCTGAAACTGGATTATGAGGTTAACTGTTTTTTCCAGGGACCCTTGTCTTGGGTTAGTGAAGTTTTCCCTTGGCTTCCACAGGGAATTGGTTCCAGGACCCCAATGGATACCAAAATCTGAGGATGCTCAAGTCCCTTCTATGAAGTGGTGTCGTGTTTGTATGTAACCTCAGCACAACCTTCTATATACTTAAACCATCTCAAGAGCACTTATCATATAATGTAAATTCTATATGAATGGTAGTTAAACTTACTGTTGGGGAAATAATGACAAGAGTCTGCAGGGAGAATGTCAGTACACATTTACCATATAGTCACTTTTATTCCTGCATCTCAGGGATGATGCATCCATGGATATAGAACTAGTGAATATAGAGTCTAGCTGTATGTATCTTGTTCATTCTGTTTTCTGAAAATCTCTAATAAACAAGGGCTTTATTAGGAAGTAATTAATTTTTATCAAGAAGTGGAGAATATTTAAGATATTATCAAAAATGCAGTTATACTCCAGAGAAATCCAGTTATCAGTAACCAATATTCCTAACTGCAGATCATTGATCTTAGGACTCAGCTACATTGCTTTGACATAGCTGAAGTACACAAAATTTGACTGATTTAAATATGAAGGAGTTTTCAGAGAGCGGCCATCCCCAAACTTGGTGGTGCCTTAGAATCATCCGAATCCCAGGTTTCCACTGTCAGATTTTGATCCGGTAAATCAGTCTCATAATTCAGTCTTGATTTTTTTAAGCAGATGACAGCAATCCAAAAAAAAAAAAAAAGAAAACCAAACAAGGCAAGAACTGAACAGAGGTTCAGTGATAAACCTGACAATCTGATAAGTCCAGATTGTTCCTGGAAGTCCCTAAGAGTTCCCTTACTGGGGACCAACATCCTGCTTCAGAAATGCTAACACAGCGTTGTTTATTTTCAGTTTTGGAATAAAATGTTTTTTTTTTCTTCAGTTGAGTACTAGACGTGATAGTTGGCCTGGGTGGTGGCCTAAGTCATCAAGTAAAGTGAAAGCTTAGTCACAATATCCTTGCCCATCAGTATACAGTAGGCATGGTTTTGTCATAAACACTACACAGCAATAGGTATGTGCATCAGTACATACAGTGATGCTCAGCATGTATCCCATTGAGGGATCTTAACTAGTAATTAAATTATTCTAAACCAGGCATGATGGCTCATGCCTGTGATCCCAGCTACTCAGGAGGCTGAGGCAGGAGGATCACACATTCAAGGCCAGCCTCAGCCACTTAGCGAGACCCTGTCTCAAAATAAAATAAAAAGGGCTGGGGATACAGCTCACTGTTAGGGTGCTTGCCTAGCATGTGTGAGACCCTGCGTTCAGTCTCCAGGACTAGGGATGGGGGTCCCAGGAAAAGGAAAGAAAAATTATTCTAGCATGTTGCTACTAGAACAGATTGGCAATTCTAGGAGGGTTGTGACTTCCTAGTTTCTTTGTAATCGATTTATCAATTCTTCTACCTCTTCTTCGTACTGTGTTTTTCTGTGTCTTCATTTCATTCCACAACTTCTTCCTTGAGCGCTAACACAAAGGCATCCTCACGCACTGGACAAGGGTTTTAATTTCTTCTTAGTGGTCGTGAAAACCTCGAAGCTGCTCACCCCCACTTCCCCCCAGCTGTGGCCACATCCTGGATGTCCCAGGCCCTCGTCCATTGCCTGATAGGTGCTGGTGTGGAATATGGGCACCTAAGTGAGCTGTTCGTTTTTGTCCCTTGAGAGGGGCTTGGAGTCTGGCAGGTTAAATATGTGTATGACTCACACATTCATTCATCCGCCTTGCCTGAGCTCTCAGTTTAAATCCAGTCCAGATCCGATGCTGAGGGAACAGCAGGTTCCTGTCTCTTACCTGGTGACAGGCCATCCGCTGCTCCTTGAGCCAGTGATTAACTTTTGAGTTAAATGCCTCTGGAGTGTACAAGGCGCTCAACTCATAGGATGGCACCCCACCCGCACCCTTGTTGCTCTCTCTGACTTACTTTAAACTGGGAGCTGATTGACCCAATGTCTAAACTAGATTTTAAGGTCCTCTTTGGGAAAATAAGGTGCTCACTAGGTTTAATTTGTTGAGGACAAGGTCTCCCTTGGTTTTATCTTGGTAGCCTCAGCACCTCTGAATATTAGGAGCCCCAGGAAGGTGCTGAGTGAAACAATGACGATAATCCTTACAGGCAAAAACCCTGTTGGGCCTGCTCCCAGGAGACCTAGCACGGTGACTTTGAGCATGTCACTAAGCCTCAGTGTGGTTCACTGTAGATAGACAGAAAACTGATGATTTCTTGGAGTTCTGAGGATTAAAATGTTCCTGGTGACTGTGATTTTTATTTTTTTATTTTTAGTTTTAGTTTTAGGTGGACACAATATCTTTATTTTAATGTGGTGCCGAGAATTGAACCCAGTGCCTCACACATACTAGCCTAGCACGCTACCACTTGAGCCACATCCCCAGCCCTGATTATTTTTTTTAATATTTACTTTTTAGCTGTAGTTGGACACAATATCTTTATTTTAATGTGGTGCCGAGAATTGAACCCAGTGCCTCACACATACTAGCCTAGCACGCTACCACTTGAGCCACATCCCCAGCCCTGATTATTTTTTTTAATATTTACTTTTTAGCTGTAGTTGGACACAATATCTTTATTTTATTTTTTTTATGTGGTGCTGAGGATCAAACCCAGGGCCTCGCACATGCTAGGTAAGCACTCTACCGCTGAGCCACAATCCTGGCCCCTTGTTTTTTGTTTTGTTTTGTTTTGCAGTACTGAGAACCAAACCCAGGGCCTTCCGCCACTGAGCTATATCCCTGGACTTTTTTATTTTGAGACAGAGTCTCACTGAGTTGCCCAGGCTGGCCATGAACTTACAATCCTCCTGCCTCAGCCTCCCAAGTGGCCAGGATATGCCCAGCTGTACCGTGTTCTTTTGTTGGGTGAAGAGGGGTACCAGGGATTGAACTCGGGGACACTCAACCACTGAGCCCCATCTCCAGCCCTGTTTGGTATTTTATTTAGAGACAGGGTCTCACTGAGTTTCTTAGTGCCTCAGTAGGTTGCTGAGGCTGGCTTTGAACTTTTGATCCTCCTGCCTCAGCCTCCCAAGCTGCTACGATTATAGGTGTGCACCATTGCACCCAACTTATACCATGTTCTTTATTATTCCATGCCTCTTAATTAATCACTTTATAGATACTGGGCTTTTTAAAATATATTTTTAGTTGCAGATGGACACAATACCTTTATTTTGTTTATTTAGGGTTTTTTTTATATGGTGCTGGGGATCGACCCAGTTCCTCATGAGTGCTAGGCAAGCGCTCTACTACTGAGCCCCAACCCCAGCCCGTAAATGCTGGTTTTAGCACAGACTACAAAGTTTTTGGCTCTGTGCTTCTGATCAGTGTCACTACTGATGGACTGTCCTCCTCTTCTGCTCTTTAAAGAACAGTTGCCCTGAAGAATGGCGGAAGCAGTTTTCCACGCCCCAAAGAGGAAAAGGAGGGTGTATGAGAATTACGAGTCTCCACTGCCAGTCCCTCTTGGTCAGGACCAAGATCCTAAGAAATTCAGAATCTTCCGCGCAGAAATAATCAACAACAACGTGATTGTGAGGAGCCCCGAGGACATTAAGCAGCTGTATGGGAAGGTAAATGCGACCTCAGCGGGTGCCCGACCCTGAGCAGGCCGTCCCTTCCCTCCCGTCCCCTCGAACTAACCATCACAGTGCGGCTTCCTCCCTCGCAGTGTGGTCCGTGCACCCAGGGGGTGATGAGATGGCAGACACAGACCTGCCTCAGACAGGGGTCAGTCGGCTGGCCGTTCTCATCTGTCAGAGCTCGTTCACTGTTGAGACAAACAGAAGACCAAGGATGTGTGGGAATGTGATAGGCAAAACAGGAAGCCCCCACTCGCCATCGCAGTCCCAGACGTAGCCACAGAGTGGCACTGATCCCAGACAGACAGAGGTGGCTTCAGAGTGTGCCCCGGCTCCTCCCCTGCTTCTCTCCTGGCCCTGCAAGTTCTTAGATGAGGTCAAGTTCTAGTTCTTATTGTTGTCTAGCAGTAATGGGTTTGTGTGAGGGCTGGCTGGTGGTTGGCCTTCTCTCTCTCTGCTTTGTGTTTTGTTGTGTTCTCGTATTTTCCGTAGCCTGTTCATCACCAGTGGCGTTTTTACAACCAGCTTGACTGCTGTGTGGCTTAGGGCCCCCACCCATTGTTAATGTCTAATCCGGGGATTATAAATTCAGAAAGTGGTACAGCCATCATCACAATCCTATTTTAATTATTTTTAAATTTATTATTATTTTTTTTAGTTGTAGTTGGACACAATACCTTTATTCCATTCATTTATTTTTATGTGGTGCTGAGGATCGAACCCAGGGCCCCGCGCATGCTAGGCGAGCACTCTACCACTGAGCCACAATCCCAGCCTGTATTTTAATTTTTTAGGTGCTTTTTTCCCAAACCCAGGGCATCGTGTATGCTCTGCACAATCTCTACTGCTGAGCTGCATCCCCAGCCCACGGTCCGGTTTTAAAATATTCCCATGGCCATAGAAAGTTCTTTGTGCCATCACACATAATCCCTGCTCCCACTCCCAGCCAGGACCACCACTGATGAGCTTCCTGTCTCTGTTCGTGTGCCTTCTCTGGAGATGTTATACAAAAGTGGGTGGCCTTCTCGCTGGTGAGATGCGAAGGCCCCACTTAGCTCCTGTCTCCCCACAGCTCCGCAGAGAAAGCCTTCATTTGCAAGTGGCTTCCTAAGGGCCCTGCTCAGTCTGTATTCTAGTTAGTTATGCTATCTACAGTGGAAGGTAAAGGGTGTCCCCTTTATTATTTCAACCCTCTATGTGTTTATGACCAAAAGGAGAAGACGTCTCTGTCACCCTCAATCTGTCGTTTCCAGATTGAAATCATTAGTAATGAGGTAAATGAGGGGCACTGAAACTTAACCTTTATTCTTGAAAAGTTTAGAGACATAAAACCCTGAAGTCAACACGAGTCACCGTGACATTGTCAGAGGGGAAACAGAGTGGCGAAAAGTGGGGTGAACCTCTTGTTAGCCCGAATGCCGATATTCCTCTCCAGCTTCAAAAAGTGGGTAACTGAACATGAACTTTGTTTTCTCTCTTTTCAAAAGGGCTACTTTGGGAAAGGCATTCTTTCCAGAAGCCGACCGAACTTCACAATTTCAGATCCTAAGCTGGTTGCTAAGTGGAAAGGTAAGCTCATACATCATTCAGTTCTTTGGCAAATTAGCATTTTCTTTCATTTGTGATCACACATCTCAGGTGAGTAAAGTTCTAGAGGAGAGTGACAGGGCACACTGACAACTTTACTGCCCAGAAGAGCAACTAAGATAATTCTTATCAAAAGAAAAGTGTTCTTGCTGGGTGTGGTGGTACACACCTGTAATCCCCATGGCTCAGGAGGCTGAGGCAGGAGAACCATGAGTTCAAAGCCAGCCTCAGCAAAAAGCGAGGCCCTAAGCAACTCAGTGAGACCCTATCTCTAAATAAATACAAAATAGGGCTGGGATGTGGCTCAGTGGCTGAGTGCCCCTGGGTTCAATCCCTGGTACTCCCCCCCCCAAAAAAAAATGGGTTCTATTTTCAAAAATAGAACTTATAACAAGAAACATGACATTGACATATTTATTAAGACATACTAATATGCAGAGGTCTCACTAGCTTGTTCATCTTTGTGTATTTTTCTAAGGAACACTCATGGTAGTTATTGAAGAATCTATATCCAGGTGCACTGGTGCATGCCTGTGATCCCAGTGACTCTGAAGGCTGAAACGGGAGGATTGGAAGTTCAAGGTCAGTCTGGGCAACTTGTCAAGACCTGTCTTAAAACAAACAAACAAACAAATAAAAATTTTAAAAGGGGTGGGGGTGTAGTGTAGCTCAGTGGTAGACCACCCCTGGGTTCAATCCCCAATGGGAGGTGGGGGTACAGAAACCAACACCAACATGTTCAAACATAATTAGAAAGGAATTTTTAAACTCCTCACTCCCACCTCCAGGGAACCAGGGCAATTGCTCTACCACAGAGATACACCCCCAGCCCTTGTAATTTTTATTTTATTTTGAGACAGGTTCACACTAAGTTGCCCAAGCTGGCCTCCAACTTGCCATCCTCAAACTCCCAAGTTGCTCGGATTATAAGTGTGCACCACTGCATCCAGATTTTTAGGAAAAAAAAATTAATAAGAAGATGGAGAAGGGGTTGTGGCTGTATCTCAGTGGTAGAGCACTTGCCTAGCTTGTGCAAGGCACTGGGTTCCATCCTCAGCACCACTTAAATAAAATAAAGGTATAAAAAAATAATATTAAAAAAAGAAAAAAGTGGAGAAATAAAAAATGCACTGAGATACCATTTCAGCAATCAGGCAAAATTCCAAAAGTCTGGCCACATGCTCCATTGCTGAAGCCCTGAGAAACACGGGCTTGGCTGTGTTGCTGGTCAGAGTGCAAATGCTATAGCTCTTAGAGGAATTTAACAGTGTCTCACAAAACTGTATACACATCGACTTTTTTCTTTTCTTTCATTTCTCTTTCCCTTCAGTTATAGGGAACTTTTACAAAATATAAATGGAATCCTACAATATTTGTTCCTTTGTGCCTGGCTTCGTAATGTTTCCAAGGTTCTTCCCTCCCTAGCAGATATCAGAACTCTATTCCTTTTCGTGACCAAATAATACCAAATAATATTCCACTGTATGGACGAACCACTTTCTTTTTTTTAAATTTATTCATCTATTAACAAACAAATTGTTTCTAAGTTTAGGCTGTTGCAAATAATTCTGTTGTGGCCATTGGTCTACAGTATCTATTTGACTCTCGGTTTTCACTCCTTTGCATATATACCCAGGAGTGGAATTACGGGATCATATGGTCATTTTAAGTTTAATTTTTAATAGTCATTCTAATGTATGTGAAGTGGTTTTTGTTTTCAGTAAAGTCCAATTTATCTATTTTTTTTTTTTATTGCTTGTACTTTTGGTCTTATATTTAAAAAACTATCGCCAAATCCAACTTTAGCAGATTTTCTTGTTCTTTTTTTTTTTTTTTTTTCTTTTTTTGGTGTATTATAATCCTACCTAGTGGTAGGATTCCTTGTTCCCTATTTGTGCATACACACAGTATGGTTTGGCTTTTCTGTCTCCTAGTAGTTTTGTCGTTTTAGCTTTTGAGTTAGGACTTTGTTGCTCTTTTTAACCTAGCAATCCCACTTCAGGAATCTATTTTAAAGAGATACTAGCAAAAGTTGAAAAGAAATAGCACAGGGCTGTCTGGCAGCACTGTCTCTAATATCCAAAGAAAGGGAGCAGCCCCAATGTCCATCCAAAAGGAGAGTGGCCTCAATTCCAGCATGTTCATGTAGTGAGTACTCTAGAGACACCACAGGAGGGGCCTCTGGGGTGCGTTATTAAATGAAGAGACCCAGGTAGGGGATGTGCAGTGTGCTGTCGTTCATCCAAACAGGAAGGTTTATATTATGCTTTTTAAATATGAAAGGATTGAGGAGACGTTTAATCCAATTTAAACATTACACAACGTAGACGCGTGTGAAAACATCACATTATCCCCATTAATATGCACAATTTTGCTGAGCGCAGTGGTGCACACCTGTCATCCCAGAGGCTCGGGAGGCTGAGGCAGGAGGATCAAGAGTTCAAAGCCAGCCTCAGTAAAAGCGAGGCCCTAAACAACTCAGTGAGACCCTGTCTCTAAATAAAATACAGAATTTGGCTGGGGACATGGCTCAGTGGTCAAGTGCCCCAGAGTTCAGTCCCTAGCACAATTTTTTTTTTTTTTTTTGAGAGAACTTTTTTTTTTAAATATTTATTTTTAGTTTTCGGTGGACACAACATCTTTATTTTATTTTTATGTGGTGCTGAGGATGGAACCCAGTGCCCCGCTCATGCCAGGCGAGCGCGCTACCACTTGAGCCACATCCCCAGCCCGCGACAATTTTTATGTTTTACATATTTGATTTAAAAAAATCAATTTAAAAATTAATATGAAAGGATAAACCATATTTTTTTTAAATGCTTATGGAAAGAGATGAAACAGGATGGAGACGTGAGACCTTATAGATTGGACTTGGAAATCTTGTAAATGTATTACATGATTGCAAAACAAAGTTTAGTTTAGTTTGTTTTTGGTATGGGGGTAGAACCCAAGAACCCTTTACTACTGAGCCACATCCCTGGTGCTTTTTATTTTAAGACATTGTCTCTCTAAGTTGCTGAGGCTGGCCTCAAATTTGCAGACCTCCTACCTCAGCCTCCTGAGCGGCTGGGATTATAGACTTGCACCCCCGCCTTGGAAACAAAGAAATTTGTAAAAAGCAACCTTTTTTTGTTGTTGTTTTTTTTAAACAAAGGTGAAACAACTGAATTAGTATATCACTGTTGGTTGTGTAACCACTCAGAGAGAAACTATTTTAAGTACATTAATTCCTGCAGTCCTAATGGGGTCCACTCTGCCAGTTTTCTCTTGTCATGATGATGCTGCTTAATAAACCACCCGAAATTCATCAGCTGTCAACAGCAACCCTGCTGCTCCCTAGTCTCCTGATTTGCAAAATGAGTTAGGAACAGAACAGAACAGAACAAAACCCCAGTGGGCACTTAGAAAGAAAGATGCGCCACTCCTGATGGCCGGAGCGAGAGCCGGGGTCCAGAACTTCCAAGCCCACACTCCAGACCCCCCACCGTGGAGTGTGCCTCTCTGGCTGCAGGCACACAGAAGGGCAGAACCCCTTCTCCCGGCCTGCAGGCTCCTGTCTGGACGCCGGAGTGAGCGGTCGGAAGGATGGGGGTCTCCATCCATGCCACCACTGCCTGGCAGAGCGCTGAGCAGAGCATTCTGAGGTCAATCAGAGCCTGCCAGGCACGTGGGTGCAGGGAAGGATGGCACGTATTGCCCATTGGTGTGGCTCACAGGACAGTTAACCTCGTGGACGCGCGACTTTCTTTCTTAGATCTGTAGTGTGTTTTTTTTGTCTCTTAAGGAAAATTTGTCTGAAACTAATAGAACTGCTTTGTTGTTACAGGTATGAAGACAGACTTGCCTGTAATCTCATCAAAGAAGTAAGTTATGACCCGCATTACAGTTATGATCTAAGGTGGATGCCGTAGCTGGCCTCTGACTTGTGATCCTCCTGCTTCAGCCTCCTGAGTTGCTGGGATTATGGGCATATGCCACTGCGCCCAGCCCCAGCGCTGGACTTTTAATTCAGTGGTCTTTTGTATATTGTGAGTTAAGGAATTTGATGAGGGCTGTAGTGTTCAGGGTGGAGCACTTGCCTTATACGTGTGAGGCCCTGGGTTTGATTCCATGGCTCTCCCAGAAAGGGCGGGTAAATTGATGAACCTCTGGGTCTTGTGGTGGGAGCGTAGTTCATGGCCTGCCTGGCGTGCACAGGACCCTGGGCTCAAGTTCAGCACTGGGGGAGGGGGTATATTTCTTCTTCACAAAAATATATGTTGACAGAAAAATTTGTGTTCAAATAATAGAGACTCACAGACCCAGGAAGCCTGCAGGGCCAGTGCTGTCGTCGGTAGGAAAAGCTAGGATCTTTCTTAGATCTCTCCCGTGAAAGTGCTTTTAACTCTGCACAAGTGGCCAGGTCACAGGTGACAGGACACCAGCTATCTTATGGACAGCTCCTTTCTTTTCCCACCAAATATAAGAAACAATCCCTGTGAAAGTCCCTGTAGATAGTAGTACCAGGGTCCCCGTTTTATGGGTTTAGGAAAATGAAAGCACAAAGGTGATTTGTTTTGTCACACAGTTGCAAGTAAGTGGCCAAGTCACAGCGACACACAGAACGTGGGTAATGCCAGCGTCACTGCTTCCTACTGCATCATGGGGCGGGTGTGTGTGTGTCCTTGCCTGCTCTCAGTCTTTAGAACTCGGTTCCTGGTGTGTAGGGATGCGTGCGCTTCTGTCCACAGGATAAACACGGGTGTGGACAGCTTGGGGACTCTGATCCCTGGTGAGCAGCCACGGGTCTCTTAGGTACAGCAGAAGCCAGTCTCCCAGTTAAGGGTGGGAGCTGTAGCGTTTCTCAGACCATGACATACTCAGCCGACTGTACGCAGATAACGGAAGGTGGGGAGTAAAGTTTCACCTGTCCTCTCCCGGCCAGTGATGTCCTGGGTTCTTTTTTGTTGGTACAGGGATTGAACTCAGGGGCACTCAACCACTGAGCCATATCCCCAGCTCTATTCTGTATTTTATTTAGACACAGGGTCTCTCTAAGTTACTTAGCACCTCATCATTGCTGAGGCTGGCCTTGAACTCGCATCCTCCTACCTCAGCCTCCTGAGCCACTGGGATGACAGGCGTGCACCCCTGCTCCTGGCCATGTCCTAGGGTCTTTACAGACTGATGCTAAAGGCAGAGACAGAAAGTGCTGGATGTCACCAGTTTCGTTAGCCTTCTGTTGGTCCTCAGATTTCAACACAGTGGCTCTTATGCGCAGGAACGCAGCCCGCAGCGTGGTTTGGCACAGGGCTTGTGTTTTCACCTGTGATTTTTTTTAAATACTATGGGAAGTGTTCAGATGGAAGTGTTAGAAACTATGTGCATTTTGTCATTAAAATATACCATGAAAATTATTAGAGGGAATGGACCATTTCTTTTAGAATATTTGCACATACTAGATAAGCCAAATAATTTCCAATATGGTGAAGAAGCTGTTTGGTCCTGTGGAAAAATATTAATGGATGGGCTGTGACTGTGGCTCAGTGGTAGAGCACTTGCCTAGCATGTGTGAGGCCCTGGGTTCGATTCTCAGCACCACATAAAAATAAATAAATGCCCATTGACAACTAAAAAAAAAATTTTTTTTAAATATTGAAATTCTCATTTTGCTTTCCAATACTCAACAAAGGGCCTAGTTGTAGGATGAATGGAATATCTATCAGAAAACACTGCAGTAGCCCAAATTGAAAATGATAACAAAGCAAATCCTGATAAAAGGTGGCCATTGTCTCTGTTTTTTTACTTGTGTCTTTTAGTTTTAAATTGGACACATTTTCATACTTTGCAAAATGGGGGCTGATTTTTTTTTTCAAATCAAGCAAATGAAATGAAGCTTTATTAATAAAAACAAGAAAGTGTACATGCTTATTGCAGAGCATGTAGAAAATGCAGAAAGGTATAAAGAACACCTCTACCTATAATCCAGCATTCAGTGAAATTGCTTCAAATGTCTTAGCACTTAGTAGACCACCTTCCGATCATTTTTTTTTTTTTTTTAAACTGGGACTTGAACAGAGGCATTTTACCATTGATCCACATCTCCTGCCCTTTCTATTTTTTATTTTGGGACAGGGTCTCACTAAGTTGCTTAGGGCCTTGCTAAATTGCTGAGGCTGGACTTGAACTTGTGATCCTCCTGCCTCAGCCTCCCAAGCTTCCAAGATTACTGGCATGAGAAACTGTGCCCAACTCTTCCAGTCTTTTTTTATATGTTTTGTTGTCTTCAGTTTTAAAATTCAAGAGTTACTGACAGTATTTCCCCTGGCAGGTACCAGCGTCGTGTCGAATGGGCCGCGAGTCTCATGCACAGACAGGGGCAGGACCCGAGAACTGTGCACAAGATCCTCAAGGAGTACACAAAAGCGCTTGAACATCCTTGTGTCAGAAGGAACGAAGGGGTTCAGGTGCATGACACACTTGACCCTGAGATAGCTTCCACCCTGGGAAGCACAGTGGGCACCGAGAACCTTTCTGAGATGAATGAAGACATTGGACAGTCAGACGAGCCTAGCAGGCACTCAAACGGCGGCCTGCAGGAGGACTCTGCGCATGACCCACTCCCCACCAAGGGCCTCGATGCACGGGTGGGAGAGGACACCACACCTCTGCCCCGAGATGTCCTCATCCCCCTGCGTGGCCTTCAGCCTGAGGCTGGCGGTCAGCAAACGGGTCTTATCCATGCTGGAGAGAGAGGGCCTGACCATGAGTATGTGCTCGTCGTGGAAGAAGAGGTGTGTGCTGTGAGCGAAGGGGACGACGCCCCCAAAGAGGAAGTAAGTTAAGGAGAGCAGAGCCCACCAGGTACAGTGGTGCTCACCTGTAATCAGCGACTTGGGAGGCTGAAGTGGGAGAATGGCATGTTAGAGGCCAGCCTGGACAACCCCCATGAAACCCCGTATCAAAGTAGCAGTTAATCCTAGCACTGCATAAATAAGTGAGTAAGTAAATAAATAAATAGGTGATTTAAATAGAGGTCTGGGATGTAGCTCAGCAGTTGGGCCCCCACCCCCGGTACAGTTTCTAGTACTAATAGTACCCCCCCCCCAAAAAAAAAAAAAAACAGACACATATAAGTGAACAAAATAAAACACAACAATTCCACAAAATGATCTGCAGGAAAAAATATATTTCATGAGTAAAAGGAAATTTAAAACAATGGGGAAAATCAAAGCTGCATTCTCTCCATAAGGTGTATTAAAAAAAAAAAAAATCTAGTATTTACCCAATAGCATGTGCATCTTGAGAGTCATCAGAAAAATGTTCCTTGCAAAATGTTGTGTCTTCTATGTGGCCTGGGGTGCTACCGTGTGTTCCATGTGTGTTTGATGGTATTACTTTCTCATCAGGTGGTGCGAAGACAGAAATTAACGTGCAGAAGAAACCCATATAGGATCTTCGAGTATTTGCAGCTCAGCCTAGAAGAGGTAGGTTTTCATCGTGTGTGTTCAGCACCGTGCACTGTAGGCAGGAACCTACCTCAAACACAGTTCTAAATGTCATGTAGTAACTGAAGATTCCAGTTAAGTGTTGGCATGGGCATTGGCAGCTTCCGAAGTTGGCCTGCCAACTTCATTCCTCAGCCTTTATTTCATTGGTTCTAAGATGTGTGTGGGGGCCAGGGGTGTAGCTCAGTGGTAGAGGGCTTGCCAGGCATGCAAGAGTCTCTGGTTCAATCCTCAGCCTTGCAAAAAAGAAAAAAAAGATGTGTGTTTTAGGGGATATTTTTATATCATTGCATGCAGCATTTAAGGGGTTTATTAAGCATTTCTTTTCTCATCAAGATTTCAAATTGGCTGAATATTATGTCACTAATTTTCACCAGCTTTGTTAAAAATACAGCTTAATGAAATGTAATTTATATACTATCAAGTTCATCCATTTTGCCAGGTACAGCAGGTACAGTGGTGCATGCCTGTAATCCTAGCAGCTCAGGAGGCTGAAGCAGGAGGATCACAAGTTTAGAGCCAGCCTCAGCAACTTAAGGAAACCCTGTCTCAAAATAAAATATTAAAAAAGGGATGGAGGTGTGGCTCAGTGAGTGGTTAAGTGCCCTGGGTTCGGAGCTGGGGTTGTGGCTCAGTGGTAGAGAGCTCACCTAGCGTGCATGAGGCATTGGGTTCAATCCTCAGCACCACATAAATATAAAATAAAGACATTGTGCCAACCTAAAACTAAAAAATAAAATTAAAAAAAAAGTGCCCTGGGTTCAATTCCTGGTACCAAAAAAAAGTTCATTCATTTAAAATATATAACACACAACTGGGATACAGCTCAGTGGCAAAGTGTTTGCCCAGCATGAGGCCCTGGGGTCAGTCCCCAGTCCTGCAAAAATAGCGTTCAGCCCACCAGGCATTCCTGCTGTTGGTTATGGATTCAATCTTCCATGTCTTCTTACACGCTTTCATGTATAAAAAGAAAAATCAGGGCTGGGGACAGAGCATAGTGATAGAGAATGTGCTTAGCCTGTGCAAGGTCCTGGGTTCCAGCCCTAGCGTAAAAAAAGTAACCCAGTTTCCTGTGAGCCACCATTTAGCCATACTTGCTGCACATCAGTCTCTGGGGAGCCTCCTCAATTGTACCTGTAGATTCTATCACCTGAGACAGGTACAGCCAACAACTTGTGGCTGTGTGGATGGTATTATCTTCATCAGAGAGCTCTTTTTATTTCCATTTAAGAGTGATTTTATTCAGCCAGGCCAACTCTCTGAATGCTGGTTCTCCAGCGTCTTTCATACAGTAGAACATGGAATTTCACATAACTCAGTGGAGACACTTGATAGTCAGGAGAGCTGAGAAACTTATTTTGGTTTTGGTACAAGGGTTTGAACCCAGGGGCACAGTCACTGAGCTACATCCCCAGCCTTTTTTATTTTGAACAGGGTCTTGCTAAGTTACTGAGGTCCTCGATAAATTGCTGAGGCTGACCTGGAACTTTCCATCCTTCTGACTCAGCCTCCCAAATCAAAGGGATGACAGGCGTGTGCCAGTGTGCCTACCTAAATGTTTTTTTTTTTTTTTCATTTTTCCTTTTTTGTGTGTGTGGTACTAGGGATAGAACCCAGCAGCACCCTACCACTGAGCTACATCTCTAGCCCTTTTATATTTTTATTTTGAGACAGAGCTCACTAATTTTCTGAGGCTGGCCTTGAACTTGGAATACTTCATTAACCTCCTGAGTAGCTGGAATTGCAGGCAGGCGCCACTGCACATGGCAGTATTTTGTTTGACTTTTTCTTTTCTTGTTTTCAGTATTGGGGATTGAATGCAGGCCCCAAACATGCTAGCAAGCTAGGCACACTCAGTATACCCCAGTATTTTATAAGCAAAGTCTACTCTATATTTTGTAACATAAGCAAAATTTGCAATGCCCTGTACATTTCACAATTTTTTTCTATACTTTTCTCAGCTTAATATGGTTATTTCCTTTTACAGGAGGCAATCCAATTAGCAAAGGTTTCTGTTTTTATTAGTTACTGATATCTTTCTCAGTTCAATTTTTTTAAGGAAAATATATATAATTTTATTTTTTACTGATCTAAACCAGTTTGTAACATTCATGTTAAGATTTTTTTTCGGGGCTGGGGATGTGGCTCAAACGGTAGCGCGCTCGCCTGGCATGCGTGCGGCCCGGGTTCGATCCTCAGCACCACATACCAACAAAGATGTTGTGTCCGCCGAAAACTAAAAAATAAATATTAAAAAAATTTAAAAAAAAAAAAAAGATTTTTTTTCTCAGTTCAGAAATTTTAGTGAGTCATTTATGATAAAAAATATATAATTTTGCTGATTTAAAAACATCCCTTTGGGGTATGGGGACTGTCACTCAGTGGTAGAGAGCTTGCATACTGAAGGCCCTGGGTTCCATCCCCAGGAAATTAAATAAAAATTTTTAAAAATAATAAGTTAAAAGGAGAAAAAGGGGCTGGGGATGTGGCTCAAGCGGTAGCGCGCTCGCCTGGCATGCGTGCGGCCCGGGTTCGATCCTCAGCACCACATACAAACAAAGATGTTGTGTCCGCCGAGAACTAAAAAAAAATATTAAAATTCTCTCTCTCTCTCTTTAAAAAAAAAAGGGAGGAAAAAGAACATTAATTTGAGGGCTGGAGATGTATCTCAGTGATAAGACCACTTGCCTTGTACGCACAAGACCCTGGTTTCTATCCCCAATACCCCACAAAAAAAAAAAAAAGCATTAATTTGTATTCATTGGTGGTATTTTGGACTAACAGAGGGGAGTGGAGGGAGAGGAGGTAGGAATGATAGTAGAGTGAATCTGACATTATTACTCTATGTGCACATGTGATCACATGACCTGCTTAACTATATCACGTACAACCAAACAAATGAGAAGCTATACTCCGTTTATATGTGATGTATCAAAATAGATAAGTTGTATTCATGGTAGAAAAAATCTCAGCCAATACAATAGCTTCTCAAAAATGTGGCTTTTTTTTTTTTTTTTTTTTTTTTGTGATGCCAAGGAAGGAACCCAGGTCACTGAGCCTGCTAGGCAAACGCTCACCCTTGAACTACAGCGCTCCCACTCCTAAGAATGTGGACCTATTTCTAATGAGCATTTTCTGCTTGCTCTGCTTTCAGGCTTTCTTCCTGGTCTATGCCCTGGGATGTCTCAGTATATACTATGAGAAGGTAAGGTGTTTTGTTCAGACACAATTCATTTAAGTTTCCTGAGTGTTAAAAGCAGGTTGTGGGCTGGGGCTGGGGCTCAGTGGTAGAGCGCTTGCCTCGCATGCATGAGGCACTGGGTTCGATCCTCAGCACCACATAAAAATAAATAAACAACATAAAGTTATTGTCTCCATCTACAACTATAAAAAAAAATTTTAAAAAAAAGCAAGTTGTGCTAATTCTCAAAGTACTTTAATATATTGTATCTGTTTCAGGCTGGGGATGTGGCTTGAGGCCTGAGTTCAATCCCCAACACCACAAACAAAGCAAAACCAAGCAAACGTGTCTATTCTTAGTGAATAAAACAGGACTTGGATATTCTTCTTCAAGGTTTCGCTCTGGGTTCTGAATGTGTCTGTTGAGGTGAAAGCCAGCTTGAACCCTTGTAGACTGAGTTTCGTTCCTAGAGATGAAGCGTAATATATGATAATCAGGAAATTTGTCAGAAAAATACTGAAAAAGAACAATAAGATTGAAGGGGTCTGAGGGGTAGCTCAGGGGTAGAGCGCGTGCTTGGCCCTGAGTTGATCCCCAAAATAGATAGATAGGTAGGTAATGTGTTCAGATAACGCCAGAGCCTTTGACTTTATATAGTGGCTTGCCCCCTTAAGAAGCAGAGGCTAGGAGCTGGGGTTGTGGCTCAGCAGTAGAGCGCTCACCTAGTGCGTGCAAGGCCCTGGGTTTGATCCTCAGCACCACATAAAAATAAATACATAAAATAAAGTTATTGTGTTCATGTACAACTAAAAGTACTAAAAAAAAAAAAAAAGAAGAAGAAGAAGTAGAAGCAGCAGCAGCAGCTTCAGACTGTAGAACCGTTGCCTCCAGGCAGAGGAACCAGGGGACCAGGGACAGGAGGAGAGGCAGGCTTTACACTGGATGCTTTTTATACTTTCTGATTTTCAAACGATGTGAGTATGATACCTGTTGAAGATATAGACACCCCTAACTGACGAGGGTTCGAATTTTTTATGTGTGTAAAAATAACATGCTTTGGTAGAAATGGCACCTTGAACTTTGAACTTGGGATCTTTTCCTGAGCAAATCGCTAGCTGGGTAGCAGCAGCAGCCATGAGTTGCCCCTTCTGGCCACCCTGCAATCACCATAGGAAACAGCTGACACTTCACAGTGTGCTGTGACTCCGAGTTCCTCTACCTAGAATGTCCATCCCAGACTCCCACACCACCCCCATACCACCATCGCCTCTCCTTGGCTACTTCTCATTTTCAGATGTCACCTTTTCTTTCTTCACTTTCTCCGCTGTCCCTTTAATTTCTGCTACTGATAGAGCCCAGGGCTTCCTGCAGGCCAGGCACATGCTCCACCCCAGGTCCCAGATGTTGCCATTTCTGAGTCCTGTAGAGCCCCCCTGTCCAAGAGGAATATCATGCACGTCTCGGATGGGAGCCATGTGTATCATTTTTAGATTTTTCTGGTAGCCACATTTTTAAAAATTCTTTTTTAAGCAGGTGAAGCTAATTTTAATAACATATTCCATAGTTTTTATAGCCCAGTACATCCAAAATTATGGAGCTAGTTTTCATTCATTTTTGGTTCTCATACTGAGTTGGAACTCACTGTGTATTTTACACTCTCTATTAGGACGAGCCAGATGTGCCTGGCAGCTGTGCCCTCTAGTCTAGGCCTTCCGGGGGGCCTCCCTCTGGTAGGGGTACCACATTGATTTCGGTTTGTACCTTAGCTCCACGTTTGTTGATTGGTGAGTGAATACGTGTTCCCAATAACGCCTTTTCTTTTTGTGTGTGATGTTGGGGATTGAACCTGGCCCTTTTCTTTTTAATTGACTTTAGGAACCTTTGACGATACTGAAACTCTGGCAAGTTTTCACTTCCATTCAGCCCACCTTCAGGACCACCTACATGGCCTACCACTACTTCCGAAGCAAGGGCTGGGTGCCCAAAGTGGGGCTCAAGTACGGGACAGATTTCTGTGAGTATTCTTGGTGTACATGGCAGGTGCCAGAATGGCGTTTGCATGAGATTCATCTGAGAAAATCAGATGGGTTACCTGCTGTTGCTGATCCTGTCTGAGACAGTATCGTCCTTCTGGTTTAGATAAGAATATTGGGTGCTGGACTGGGTAGAGGGGAAGTTCAGGCAGGAAAGGAGGCAGCCTGGGAGCAGAAGCGGAAACCTGCAGCCCCACTTCAGGTTCTCCCCCAGTTCACTCTGTGATCTTAGGGGTCTGCAGCACTGATTCCCATGACCTCACGTCACATGTGGTTTAGGTCAGTCCTGTATCCTTGGGGCCTCAGTTGCCTCATTTGCCAGGTAACAATAATCTTATTATTTCCGTAAGAGTCATCGCTGATGTGTATTGAGCGCTGACTGTGCGTCAGGCATTGTGCTGATTGACATTTGTCATCTCACTTAGTCCTCCCAGCAGTCAGTCCTGGGCTACAGGCTGCACAAGATCTTTTCCTAATGTTTCTGATAGGCTGCGGTTTTGAGCGATTGGATCATCTGTCCATAGTCGTTTCCAGGGCCAGAACTTCAAGGGCTGGGCTTTGGGTTCTAGAGCACAGTCTCTTAGACCCTGCCTCCCAGCACTGCCTGCCTGGAGCTTCCTAAAGTCAGTCAACCTTCCAGAAGGTCTGCGGTGGGCCAGCTATTATTTTAGGGGTCCGGAACGCAATTGGACAATAGATGTGCCTTCCTGGCACTCACTGGGGCTGGGGAGAGACAAACAAGCACACAAATACGGAACACAACTTCAGGCGCTATGTACCCGTAGGAAAAACAAGGCAGAGCAAAGGCTCAGGGAGCGAAGGGCATTGCTCAGGAGGGTCAGGAAAGGACTCCCTGAAAAGGTGGGCACAGAGCAAGGGAGCAGCTCACAGGAGAATCTCAAAAGGACACGCCAGGCAAAGTGGACAGCAGGCCCTGAGGCAGGAACATGGGAACATGCTGGGCAGGTTTCAGGAACAGCAGGAGTCGGGTGTGGAGAATGTTGCGATCCCCAGGGGTGACAGGAGCAGAGTGTGAGGGTCAAGCTGGACCAGATCCGGTGGGGCTGGCAAAGACATGGATATTTTCTTTTTTGTTGTTTAATATTTTTATTAGTTTTTTGTTTGTTTGTTTGTTTGTTTTTGGTTTTTTTTGAGAGAGAATTTTAATACTTATTTTTTAGCTTTTGGCAGACACAACATCTTTGTTTGTATGTGGTGCTGAGGATCGAGCCCAGGCTGCACGCATGCTAGGCGAGCGCACTACCACTTGAGCCACATCCCCAGCCCTTTTTATTAGTTGTTTTTTTTTTAATATTTACTTTTTAGTTGTAGTTGGACACAATACCTTTATTTTATTTACTTATTTTTATGTGGTACTGAGGCTCAAACCCAGGGCCTCACACGTGCTAGGCAAGCGCTCTACCGCTGAGCCATAACCCCAGCCCCTTATTAGTTATTGATGGACATTTTTTAGTTATTTAATTGCTTATGTATGGTGCTGAAACTCGAACCCAGTGCCTCACACATGCTAAGCAAGCGTCTACCACTGAGCCCAGTCCCAGCCCAATGTGGATGTTTTTGATTGGGAAGATTTTGAACAGAGGAGTGAGTTGAATCTAATGAGCTGACTTAATGGAACCCTGTCTCTGCCGCCTTGTTCATGACCAACGGGGGCTCAAAGTGGAAGCAGACTCACTAGGGAAGCTGGGCCCACTGAAGGAGTGGACGTGGCAGCTCCAGGTGAGAGAAGAGTTAGAGATGGCTGCTCCTCCAGGGGGCCGCTTCATGTTTAGAGCTCACCAAACAAGTTCAGTGAAGATACAGATGGAGAATCTCATATCTGAAATGCTGGGTAACAGAAGCATTTCCCATTTTAGGTTTTAGAATATTTGTATATAGGTAAGGAGAGATCTCCAGGGTGGGACCCAAGTCAAAACACGAAATTCACATGTGGTCCATACCCATCTTGCATACAAGTCCTGACTGTTAGTTTATATAATATTTTTAAAATAATTTAATGTGTGCAGCAAGGCTGCCTGGTATGGAATTTTCTGCTTGTGGCATCTTGTCAGCCCTCCAAGAAGTCACAGGATTTGGCAGGCAGGGCGTGTAGTTCAGTGGTGGAGCATCTGCCCACTAAAAACAACAACCAATTTTCAGATTTTAGAGCACTTCAGATTTTTGTGCTCACGATGCTCAGCTTAATGAGCAGAGGCGGCAGAGACGGGTGGTTCTGGAGCACAGGAGAGTGGCCTTGACAGTCCTCAAATATAAGGGGTCCTGAAGCCAGGCCTTGGTGAGCGAGCCTCTGTCATTGGAATCCCTTCCAGCATCAGAATCATTCCTTTAAGTCACTGAAACCCATTTTCCACATCTGCCAAATGAGGGCTCTTCCTTGATCTTTTCAGAACCATTGGTGAGGTTCTGATCCGAGTTTTGAGGTGTTTTAGAAGCCTTCCACTTAGTCAGGGCCCATGTGGTTTTGAGCCTTTTATTTATTTTCCATACTGGGCATGGAGCCCAGGGGCACTCAATCACTGAACCAAAAACCCTAACCCTTTTTATATTTTATATTTTGTGACATATTCTCACTGAGTTGCTTAGGGTCTCACTAAATTGCTGAGGTTGACCTCCAACGTGCGATCATTCTGCCTCAGCCTCACACAGCTGGGATTACAGGCATGTGCCACCAAGCCTTTAAGCCTTTTTAAATTCCCAAAGAAACTCAGTTTATTCCTCAAAATTCTTAAAATGTGCTTAAACCTGGAATCTGAGAATAGTTTTCAGGGGGACCCGAACGCCCTCCAAAATTCTTTTCAAAATAGTGTTTGTAGACTGGAGTGGTTTTGCAGGTCACATTCTCTTATCTTTCCTGGGTTCTCAGAGGGGATCATCAATCCAAAATGAAGGGTGGGGCCTGCCCATCTCTGGGATGAATGGCTTCTTTTGTTTCTCCACACCTGGATTTCAGTACAGATGTCTAACCCAGGGCAACCACCTGAAGGCTGGAGGGGAGCTGGTGAGGAGTTCACCAGTTCTGCGCTGGCCACCGTCTTGTTTAAATAAGCCAAGTGTAGGTTCTGTTTTTCTTCCTTGGCTTCCTGCCCTGTCCTCTTCACACTCCGTAAGCAGAGCCGCTTGGTGTGCACCTTTGGCAGGCCTCCTCCAGCTTGCTCATTACGTGGGGGAAACTGGAGTCAAATTTTCCAGTCAACAAGGCCACATCAATGTAAAGAGGTGGCGTGGGGTGACGGGAGACAGCTCTCAGGTTCACAGCCGGCTCTACTTCTTTAACCTTGTGACTTCAGACAAGTTCCTTAGTCTCTGAGTGCTCCCATTTGCTCTTATAAGGTGATAACAACATCTTCTTTATAAAACTCTTTATAAAAGACAGCTGATGATAACAGAATGTGACCTGCAAAACCACTCCAGTCTACAGGGCGCTCACCAAAGCCCCTTCCCCTGCAATCGAATCTGTAGATGACACATAGAATTATAGAATTTTTCTAATTTTGTTTTGTTTTTGGTACTGGGAATTGAACCCAGAGAGCACTTAACCACTGAGCCACATCTACAGCCCTTTTTATTTTTTATGTTGAGACATAAAAATGTAGAGAGTCCTGAAGCCAGGCCTTGGTGAGCGAGCCTCTGTCTTTGGAATCTCTTCTTGCTAAGTTGCGGAGGCCAGCCTCAAACTTGTGATCCTCCTACCTCAGCCTCCCAAGTTGCTGGAATTATGGGCGTGTACCTCTGTGCCCCACTGAACTTATTTAATTTAAAAATGAAAAAAAGGGCTGGGGATGTGACTCAGTGGTTAAGTACCCCTGTGTTCAATGTCCAGCAGAAGGGAGGAAAGGAAGAAAGGAGGGAGGGAGGGAGGGAGGGAGGAAGGAAGGAGGAAGGATTGATTTAAAAGAATAAAAATAAATGGCTACTGGGTATGACAGCACACACCTGTTTCTTCCTGCTACTAAGGAGGCTGAGCTGGAAGATCACAAGTTTGAGGTCAGCCTGGGAAACTTAGTGAGACCCCATCTCAAAATAACAAGGCTTGGGGCTGAAATTGTGGCTCAGCGGTAGAGCGCTCGCCTAGCACAGGCAGGACCCAGGTTCGATCCTCAGCACCACATAAAAATAAAGGCATTGTGTTGTGTCCATCTACCAAAAAAAGATATTCTCTCTCTCCTCTCCTCTCCTCTTCTCTCTCTCTCTCTCTCTCTCTCTCTCTCTCTCTCTCTCTCTCTCTGGTTTTGCTTTTGACTTTTGAGACGAGGTCTTGCTGTAGCACCCAGTCTGGCCCCCAAACCTGGACTCAGGTGATCCCCCTGCCTTGGCTCCTGAGGGCTGGGACTGGAGGCGGCACCACCACGCCCAGCCATGTGTTCATTTTAGAATTTTGGGAACTGAGGTTTGAGAAGTTCATCACGGGCCTGAGAGCCACATAAGCTTGGAGTAGGGAGACTGGGCAGGAGGCAAAGCTTCTGAGTTCCCCTGCATCTCCATACGTGTTTCTTTCCACTCCACCACATCTCCAAAAAGTTTGAAAATGTTTGGATGTTTACTTAAATTTGTGCCAGGGAAAATGAGCTGACTTGTGGAATACTGTAAATACAGTTTTCAGAGGGGAACCCAGTAATCAGGAAATGTGACCATGGACAGTGGTGGTGGTCTCCCCTGTGTTCCTGGGGACCTTACAGCTGTGCACGTGGTGGTACAGATTTGTCTCTGAGCTTCTTGATTTCCCAAGCCAGGGTCAAGTATGATTCCCTGAAGGATTGATAAGTCTAAAAAGGAAAACTGTATCATCAGTACTTCAAGGGAACCAAACTTTCCCTCGAACCATCCTGCCTTGGTTTTAGCACAGGGCATAGCTGAATGCTTATAGTGTAATTCTGCATTAGTGACAGGGATTCCCAGAACTACAGTTAACTTATAAATGCCAGGTCTCTGGAGCTCAGCAGTGGCACTCATTTTTTTGTTCATGTGAAATCCAAAATGAGTGTCTGAATGGCGGGCAGATCTGCTCCAAAAGGTGCTTCAGGAAGGCAGGCTTCTTCCTGTGCCTCACGGTCTCCAGCACCAGCCTCCCAGGTCCCCTTCAGAAAGGAGGGTTCGTGGGCCAATGGCCATGCCTGGCTGCTTGGGAGATTGAGAGCTGTGGTCTGGCCACATGCCCAAGAGGAAGAAGAACTACATTTGGTGAGCAGGCAGCCGTTCTCTGCCACAGGGCCTTGTGTGCATCCAAAGAGTCCCAGGAAAGTTCCAGAGTCCCTAGCCCCAGTCTCCTTTACCTAGAAGTTCTTCTTGCCCTCTACAGATCAGATCAACCCTGCTTCCCTCAAGGCCCAAAGAGTAGGGCAGACTGATACTTTAGCCTTTTTTTTTTTTTCTTTTTAACCACTTGACTTTGGATTTATTAAAAATAGGCATGAGACTGAATTTCGTAAAAACAAGCTTGAATCTTGTTCATCTCTAGCACCAACTAGCACCGATCACAGAACTGGCCAGAGTGGCCACTCGGTCACTTCAAATTCGATTGATTTGAAATGAATAACAGATTACACAAACATCACACTGTTGATACAATTTCACACCCTAACTCTGGAGAGCATAAGAGGCAACACAAAGGTTACTTGTGACTGGGTGGTATAGCTCAGAGGCCCTGGCTTTAATCCCCAGCCCCAAGAGGGAGGAGAATTACTTGAACTTGACTTTGGGAGTTACTCTGGGAGAGTAGGGGTGGGGGGCAAAGGTGGCTGGGTGTTGGCAACAGATTTGCTTTACAATTGTACTTTGTTTGGGGGGAAAAATAGTTATAGACACAGTGATTCAGTTCCTAGCACCACAAAAAAAAAAAAAAACAAAGTTAATGCCTCGTCTATGACATTGTTATGCTATATATCTGTAGGTGATGACGGTGTATTTTTGTGTGGTGTCAAAAATACTCTATTTTTAATAGAATATTAAAAATAGATCACAAGTATATTGCAGAATATCCATGTACAGAGATTTGGATATTTGCTTCCCTTTGGAGAAGGGGAAAAAATTAGTAATAATAAAACAAACCTTTGATTTTGAGTGGTTATACATTTTCTTTTTCTTCTTTGCAGTGCTATATTGGAAAGGCCCGCCATTCTACCATGCCAGGTTTGGAATGATTTTCAAATAAATTAACACCTTAAAAGACACAAGGAGGTGATGCCTGTAATCCTAGTGACTTGGGAGGTTGAAGAAGGAGGATCACAGATCAAGGCCAGCCTCAAAAATGTAGTGAAACCTATCTATCTCAGAATAAAAAATAAAAAGGGCAGGGATGTAGTTGGGGGTAGAGCACCCCTGCATTCAATCCCCACTACCCACCCCCTACACAGACACACACAAAGCAGAAGGAAATTCCTGGCTTCCAATTTTGTTTTCAGTGCCACAGAGACAAAGTCATGTTCCTCCTGGCCCTGACAGGGACCAAATATTAAATGTCTAAGCTGGGGCTGGAAGTAGAACTCAGTTGGTAGAGTGTACAAGGCCATGGGATTGGTCCCCAGCACCACACACACACACACACACACACAAAACAAAAACAAAGTTAATCCCTCATCTATGACATCGTTATGCTATAAATACAGTAATCTGTAGGTGATGACAGTGTATTTTTGTGTGTGTGTCAAACACTTGAGTAGACCTCTGAAGTGGTTATTCATCTTAACATCAGTCAGTGTTAGTGTTTCAACAGTTGAATGAATTTATAGTTTTCATGTTGGGAAAATTATCTCTGTTCCTTTCTTGTAAATAAGCATTGAAATCAGCTGAAAGTTTGCATGAGGTGAGGGTTTTTTGTTTGTTTTGGGATTTTTTTGTTTTGTTTTTGTTTTCGAGGATTCGTTTGTATGGAGTGCTGAGAATTGAACCCAGTGCCTCACACATGCTAGGCAAGATTTCTACCACTGAGCTATAACCCCAGGTGTGCATGAGTTTCTCATTAGCAGTCCAGGTGTACTTTATGGTCAGAACATATAAATTCCATTTTCTGTATCTTCGTAAAACAAACACTTTTATTTTGAACACATGATGTCCTGCCATTTATTTATTTTTTTTTGTTGGGTTTTGGTACCAGGGGTTGAACCTAAAGGTGCTCTACCACTGATCCATACCCCCAGCCCTTTTTATTTTTTTAGACAGGGCCTCACTGAGTTGCTTAGGGGTGCTTCCTTAAATTGCCGAGGCTGGCCTCCAACTTGTGATCTTCCTGCCTCAGCCTCCCGAGCCACTGGGATTACAGGCGTGCACCTCACCCCCGCCCTCAGCCTTGTGCCTTTTATTTTTAAAACGTCCTGTCTGTGTCTTCCAGTTATTCTGTCATCGTTGAGCTCGTGGATGATCACTTGGAAGGCTCCCTCCGCAGACCATTCAGTTGGAAGTCGCTGGCCACCCTGAGCAGAATCTCAGTTAATGTCTCTAAGGTAGCACAGCATCAGCTTTGGCATTAGAGCATCACCAAAGTTGTTTGATTGTTTGTGTTCTTAAATATAGTAGAATTAAAGGGGTCATTTATAGAAACTTCATAATGTCCTGACATTAGGTTCTGGGACATTTGGGGTCTTTTGCACCCCGCCCCTATTGGGCTGGCTGCTGTCCTCTTCTCCCCTGGTGTTTTGGGGTCTCTCTTTTCCACTTCCTGGGTTAGGCTGGGTCTCTGTGGCCATCAGTTGTCCCAGGCTCCTTCCTCCCGCAGTTCAGCAGTTCATCACAAACACAAAGGAAACCACACATCATTGACATACTTCTTTTTAAATTTGTCAGATCTCTGAGAGAAGGGAGTTAAAAGGCATCGCTCAGCACTTGGCCACCCTGTTTTCCCACCTCCCTCTTCTCATCCCCATTCTGAGGATGAGGAATGCTGAGGTCCAGCAATTCTGGGTGACCGATCCCAGGTCTACGGCTCAGATGCAGAAGAGGCCCAGACCCACAGCCATCTGTGTTCCTCACTGCTGTTCTGTATCCTGTAGCCATCGCAGGCAGGAGGACAGTTTCACCCTGCACTAGGACTATCAGGAACACAAACTTGGGGTGTAGTTCAGTGGTGGAGCCTCTGCTGAGCACCATCCCCCCCAAAAAAATAAGGATGCCCGCTGAGTCTCGTGCCACAGTGTGTGCTGACTGACAGGCCGTAGGTGTTCCCACTCCCAGTGCTGCTGGAGTTGGCTCAGCCAACCCCATAGGAAAACAGGGAGTCTGTTTCTGGCATTTTTAAACCAAGTGTATGGGATTTTTAGCATATCCTTAATATTCTAAGTTCTGCTTCTGATCTGCAAGTCTCCTTTATCTGCATTCCCCTGCCATGTCAACTGTGAGATCCCCAAGCCCCAGTTTTAAAGTTCCCAGGAGGAAACGGATGTGCTGCGAAGTTCCCGTGTGCTGGTGGCTCTGGGAGCTCAGAGTGGGAGCCGAGGAGCCCGCCTGCACCCCTTGCGCTTGCTGCCGAACTGTGAGCTATGGAAATGGCTTTTCTTTTCTCAATAGGAACTTATGCTGTGCTATCTGATTAAGCCCTCCACCATGACTGATGAGGAAATGGAGTCCCCAGAATGTATGAAAAGAATTAAAGTCCAGGTGAGTAAACAGAGGGACACATCATCCCAAAGACTCTGTGCACCTATTGTCTCCTCTGGAACTTGTGCCAGGAGAGCAAGTGCAGATGGTCTTGCCACAGAGACATGGAAAGCCTTCTCGGCCCATAAGCCTGCTCTGCATGTTTCTTTCTCTCTCTCTCTTTTCTTTTTTTTTTTCCCCTTGCACAGACAGCCCTACCACCTAGCTGCACCCCAGCACCTCTCGTTTGACTCCCGTATTGAATTACACTCTCTGCTGTCTTCTTGGCTGACTTTTCTCTGTCAAGTTCTCTGCCAAGTTCATTGTCAGATCATCTGCTCTTTGTTCTGTGCCCCTCCCCCTGCAGGTAGATCTCCTCCCCGCCACCTGGCCTGTCCTCCTTTCCCTCTGCCTCACACGCTGCACCTTTGCTCACCACTCCTGTGCCTTAACCCATGGCATAGCCCGCCCCCCCCCCCCGCYCCATCTGCCCTGCTCCTCTCCACTGGGTGAGGTTTTCATAAAATACTGATCAAAATCCACTCCTCCCTTTCTCAGTGGCTGACCCAGTTCTGACATTGGGCACTAGCTTCCATACCTGCACGCCTGTCCAGAAATGTGCTAGTGGGAAGCACAGCTGAGCAAGTCCAGCCTTTAAAGTCTCTGTAGTGATTACTATAGATATTATAGATAACGTAAGGATTACATCGTTGCCTTTGTGTTTTCTGCAGATCTTTCTAATATAAGCACCTGTAATCCCAGTGGCCAAGGTGGTTGTCACAGAAGGATTATAAGTTTGAGGCCAGCTTGAGCAACCCTGCCTCAAAATTTAAAAATAAAAAGGGCTGGGGATGTGGCTCAGTGGGAGAGCACCCCTGGGTTCAATCCCTAGTATGCAAGCAAGGGAGAGAAGGAGGAAAGAGGGAGAGGGTATCATCTTTGCACAGAGGATGCCTCTTTGTGAAGCACAGCTGCGATGTCAGATGCTTGGAACATTCTCTCATTTCTGTCTTTGAAATCAATCACCTTTTGTTTGTCTTGGTTACAGGAGGTGATTCTCAGTCGCTGGGTTTCCTCACGAGAGAGAAGCGACCAAGATGAACTCTAGTGATTCAGCCTCAGATTTCCCACTCACTGAGCCTTCCACAAAGTCCTTTCCCTGTAATCGTCCATCCAGCTACTTAGGGGAGGAAAAAGAGGCCTGTGCTGAAGCCACAAGGTCTGTCCTCGAGTCACTTGCTCGATGAGCCCTCTAGGCCCCAGCCTGGGTCTTCATCCAGTCACTGGGGAGGTCAGACTAGATGAGTCCAGAGAGGACTCTCCCAGGAACAGGTAGGTCTGCTCTCTTGAGTTTGTACAAAAATATAATACACGTTTACACAAAAATATAATTTCCATTGATACAGCACTCTGCAGTTTTGGGAGCATGTTCATACACAGATATGAACAAGATCTCTCGTTTGCACATCTAATCTGTTGCAGAGAGAGCATCGGAGAGCAGATGTGGGGATCACAGGGCCCCATGTTCCTTTCTTTAAATGGAGAAAGTATGAATGCATCTCAGCATATCCAAGGACTTGTCCTTGGATTTAAAAATCCATCTGGGTCTGGGGCTCACACCTGTAATTCCATTGACTCAGCTGGAGGATCCCAAGTTCAAGGCCAGCCTCAGCAACTTATAAGACCCTCAGCAACTTAGTAAGAGTCTGCCTCAAAATAAACAGTAAGGACTAGGAATCTGTCTCAGCAGTAAAGCTTGTCTGGGTTCAATCCCCAGCATTCAAAAGAAAAAAAAAATCCATTGATTATCTGCCAAGGATTTTTTGATTCAAAGAAAACCTTTAAAACATCAATTACTGGGCTGGGGATGTGGCTCAAGCGGTAGCGCGCTCGCCTGGCATGCGTGCGGCCTGGGTTCGATCCCCAGCACCATTTACAAACAAAGATGTTGTGTCCGCTGAAAACTGAAAAATAAAATATTTTTAAAAAAAAAAAAAAAACATCAATTACTGAGAGCCTGGGATTGTGGCTCAGTGGTATAGCGCTTGCCTGATATGTATAAGGCACTGGGTTCGATTCTCAGCACCACGTATAAGTAAATGAATAAAATCAAGGTCTATCAACAACTAAAAAAAATTTTTAAAAAAAATCAATTACTGAATTGCTTAATTCTCAACTCATTTATGTGCAGAACACAACAATATCACAATATAGTTAAAAATTCTTGCTCTGGGGAACTTGTAAAATAAAAATAAGTGATGAAATAATATGTTTGGAGACATAATAAATGCAGTTAACACGTAGGAAAGTACAATAAACAAATTTGTTTAGTTGGTTAGAAAGCAATGAACATCAAAATTATACTGAGATTCTGTCTCACTCTAGTCAGAATGGCAATCTTCAAGAATATGAGCAACTATAAATGTTGGTGAGGACGTGGGGGAAAAGGCACACGCATACATTGCTGGTGAGACTGCAGATTGGTGCAACCACTATGGAAAGCAGTATGGAGACTCCTAAGAAAACTTGGAATGGAACCACCATTTGACCCAGTCATCCCACTCTTAGGTTTATACCAAAGGACTTAAAATCAGCATAAACAGGGACACAACCACATCAACATTTATAGCAGCTCAATTCACAATAACTAAACTCTGGAACCAATCTAGGTGTCTTCAACAGATTAAATGGGTAAAGACACTGGTAAATACACTATGGAATATTACTCAGCCTTAAAGAAGAATGAGATGATGGCATTTGCTGGTAAATGGATAGAATGGGAAACTATCATGCTAAGTGAAATAAGCCAATCCCAAAGAACAAAAAGCGAATGTTTTCTCTTACATGCAGATACTAATTCACAATAAGGGAGCAGGGGAGAACAGAGGTATTTTGGACTAGATGGGGATGAAGGGAGAGGAGGGAGCATGAGAGTAGGAATGATAGTGATATCAGTGATCCTATGGGCATATAAGATTACATGACCTGGGCGAGGTGGGCTCAGTGGTAGCACACTGGCCTGGCATGTGTGAGGCACTGGTTCAATTCTCAGCACCACATAAAAATAAAATAAAGGTCTATCAAAAAAAAATTTTTTTTAAAGATTACATCATCTCTGTAACTACATCATGTACAACAGGACAAATGAGAAGTTAGACTCTTTATGTATGGTGTGTCAAAACAGATTCTCTTGTCATGTGTAACTAATTAGAACAAATTTGAAAAAGAAATGAACATTGCCTAAGAAGCATTTGAGGAATGTCTTTAAATAGAACACCTGTGACCTTGTGCTGGGTAAGGTATAGTAGGAGAAAAAAAAAAAAAAGATTCATTAGGGTCACAAAAATTCTTGTGGCTGGAAAGTCCAAACAGCATGGTGTGGGTTACGGTAAGGGCTCCCTGGCTGTGTCAAAGCATGGCGGAGAAGAAGGGATCTCGCCATGTGCAGAAACGGCTCCTGCAAGAGTAAGAGATTGGGGAAGGTCCTGGCCACTTCTCTAATAGCCTGCTCTCAGGAGCTAACCCATCCTGCAGGAGCTACATCCCTGTCCCATTATCGCTATCTCCCTTAAAGGACCCATACTTTGGTATTACTATTGTTGGGAACCACATGAGGTTTGGTGGGAACAAACCACATTCAACCTATCAAAGAGGGTTGTTCTTTGGCGATGGGGAGGAGGAAGTCAGAGCGAGCTAGTGAAAGTATACAAGAAATGTCTGCGATCCATCCCACATCCAAATCCAGGAAACTGGCTGGCGGCCCTGGCCCCTGACCCTCCCAGTGGGGACAGCTTGAGAACTCTGTGAGATGAACCCTGGTCGACATGCAGGTTCTGCGTGTAGTCGTATGTCTCTGTTCAGGTCCTGATCCTGCTGTTCCAACCAGCCCATTTTGCCTGCATGATCCAAATTTTAAGATGAGCCATTCGAATAACAGCCCTTCATCCTCCCCTGCCTCTGGCCGGTAGCAGCCCTTGGTCAGAAGTTCCTTAGGAGTGCCAAGCCCTTCACTGGTGCCTTTCGTTACATGTCACAACACTTCTTTGCAAACCGGTTCAGTGCTCCAAATGCCTTTATGGTAAAAACTCTTCCATAAGTCAGGCACCGGTAATGGGGCAGGGAGGGGGGTGCCTGAGACAGGCAGATCGCCAGTTGGAGGTCAGCCTGGGCAATTTAGCAAGACCCTCAGCGATTTAGCAAGATCCTGTCTCAAAGTTTAAAAAATGACTAGAGATGTAGCTCAGGGCACTGGATCCCCAGCTTGTGCACCTTGAAGCTTGTGACTCCGGTAATGGTGTGGTATGGAAAAGCCAGAGACCACACTAGGGGTATTGATGACAGCAAGCTCTAGAAGCAGCATCTTCACCCCGTGGCTGCTGGGGACCCAGGGCCATGCATATATTAGGTAAGCACTCTACCACTGAGCTGCATCCCCAGCCCAGAAACAATAGCGCTCTCCAAGCCTGTATGGAAGGTGTTCCTTTGTGAACATGATCTGGACTCTGTGTGGCAGGCCAGGTGCTCTTCAGCATTACCATAGGGCCTTTGGGCTGGGCTCTAGAATGCGGTTTGGGTCTAACATTGCCCTCACAGTTTCGAGCTAACAGCAGTAGTAGCTGCTCTTTGGAGGATTTATGTCCTGGCACTTTTGTTCTCTGATATAAATATACAAAGTGGTATGTGTTTTCTTTAAAAAAAAAAAAAAGGCAGTTTTGTTAAGATGGGAAATTTGCTTTGCAATAAAAATACCTTCAGGAGTTTTCCACAGTTCACTGGGGGTGATGCTGCAGCTTCGCTTACAGCAGTGATTGCCTCATCCGTACCTTCAAAGCCTCAGGCTTATGTGGTAATTAATCTTGCAACCCCTCCAGACAGGCCTTGTGTGTCACACCTGTGATCCCAGCAACTCAGCTAAGGCAGGAGGATCACAGGTTTGAGGCCAGCCTCAGCAATTTAGCAAGGCTCTAAGCAATTCAGTAAGACCCTACCTCAAAAACACAAAAACAAGGGATGGGAATGTGGCCCTGTGGTAAAGCACCCCTGGGTTCAATCCCGTACGGAAAGAAGAGCTGGAGATACACCTTAGTGGTAGAGTGCCCTTGGGTTCAATCCCTCCATACTGGGACCTGAAATCCTCTCGTGGTAGGTCATGTAGCTCAGTATAGCTTGCCTAGTTATGTGCAAAGCCCAGGGTTTAATCCCTAGCGTCAAGAAACAACAAAACAAAGCCTTCACAAAATCATCTTTCTCCATCACTGGGCTGAACTGGTGTTCAGTTTCCTGCTTGAGCCAGGTGTGGTTTGGTCATGTAGTTCCAGCTACTCAGGAGGCTGAGGCAGGAGGATTGCAAGTTCAAAGCCAGCCTCAATAATAGTGAGGTGCTGAGCAACTCAGTGAGACCCTGTCTCTAAATAAAATACAAAATAGGGCTGGGGTGTGGCTTAGTGGTCTAGTGCCCTGAGTTCAATCTCTAGTACCCGAAAAAGTATAAGGCTAGTCTCAGTGGCCTCACAGGCTCACCATGTACGCTTAGCACAGGGATGTCACTAGCTTGAGCACACCGTACTTGGGAACACCCTGAAGTTTTCTGGAACCAACTATTTTCACAAATTTTGTCACTTAGTGCAAGATATTGTACATAATATAATATACATACTTGACCACATTTTTTATTGTTTGGTTTTTTTTTTTTTTTTTTTGATACTAGGAATTTACCTAGGGATGCATCCACTGAGCCACATCCCTGGCCCTTTGGATGTTTTTTTTAATTTTGAAACAGGGTGTTGCTAAATTGCTAAGGTTGGCCTTGAACTTGTGATCTTCCTGCCTCAGCCACCCAAGTTGCTGGGATTACAGGGCGTGTGCCACCAAGATTATGCCTTTTATGTTTACTTTCTCAGGACATTTTATCACTTCCAACTTCTCCTTGGCCTCCAAAACTCACCTACTTATTTTATGATGCTTCTCCCTATCCTTCCATGTTTTCAGGTACCAAGGTGGGGAGATGGGGTGACGGCACACCACAAGCCCAAACAGTAGAAGAAGTAGGTGACCTGCAAAGATGGCTGCTTGTGCCACCTCCTCCATCCAGTCCAGCGCCAAGTCCTCCACTTGCATAGTCATTGGTGAAGCACAGAAGTGGCCATCTCTGAGCCTTAGCCACTGTTCTTGTGAGACCCTCAACCCCAACCCACAGGGCTGCTGTGTGCATAAATGACACACGGGTGTCTGTACCACCTCGGTTCTTGCTCTGAACATGTGCTATCATGTCTTCCAAAAAAAAAAAAAATTGTGCCCCCACATTGGATGTCCAAATCAAATATAACCACCAGGGCAGGGTTGGCTGCAAAATCATTTAAGTGGCATTCAGAAACCGAACTCAAGGGGCACCCGCTCAGCCACGTGAGGTCAGAAGTGCCCCCCTGCCGTTGGGTGTGGGCTTCTGCAGATGCACGATGGTCCTGCTCCACAAGGTTGGGGTGCAGCCAGGCCCCTCCCCCAGGAATGCCCTCCTGTATCTGAGGTTTTATTTATTTGATTTTATTTGCAGTTCTGGAGAGATGGAACCCAGGGCCTCACGCGGTGCCAGGCAACCACTGAACTATACCCCAGGCCTCGTGTGTAATGATCAGGAGAGTGGCGGATCCCACCAGGTCCATCTGTGGATCCAAACTTAGCAACCTCAGCACAGGGGTTTCCCCAGATAACTCCCGCTGAAGGCTGAGCAGGGCAGTGAACCTTCTAGAAAGGAACCCCGGCTGGGTTGTGCCCTTGAGCAACTTCCTTGCTGCCTTTTATCAGCCTCAGTGATCTTAATTCTAAAATGGGCCCCTGTGAATGTTTTTCTCATTGTGCGGTGACAGGGACAAAGGAGGAGGACCCAAAAGGCACCTGGCACCACAGGGAGTCTTACTTCCTGGCAGGAGTGACTCAAATCCGCCCAAAGAGGCCAAAAAGACACAACATCTGTCTATCTGTATTCAGAGCAAATTCCGTGTTGGGATGGTGCCAGAGGGGCCACTCCATCATGGGAGCAAATTGACTTATCTCCGTCCTGCCCTATGAAGAGCCTGGGGCTCCACTAGGGGGGTCACCCTGGGAAGGCCCTGACCGGCTCTGCCAGGCAGTGACACAGGGATTAAAGTGATTCAGTGGGGGCTGGGGTTGTGGCTCAGCAGCAGAGCACTCGCCTCACACAGGCAAGACCCTGGGCTCGATCCTCTGCACCACATAAAAATAAATAAATAAAATAAAGGTATTGTGTCCAACTACAACTTAAAAACAAATATTTGAATAAATAAATAAAGTGGTTGAGGGGCAGTAAACCTGTCTTCCTTTCAGGGAACCGTCTTCTTGGGTGAGAATTAGCACTTGACAGTTCACAGGGTTTAAAAGCTTTAAGACGGGTTTGGGTTCTAGGTTTCAGCAATTTCTTGCTGGAGGCCGGAGGGTTGATAGTGAGACCCAGGTTTGTGTCCCACTTCATTCTACGCTAGTTGTGTGAGCCTGATGTCAAGTGTCCTCAACTCTGAAATGAAGTTAATGTTGCTGATACGCCCACACAGTGGAATGTCACTCAGCCACCAAAAGGAATGAAACTGGCCCGGCGGTAATCCCAGTGGCTCAGGAGGCTGACGCAGGAGGATCAGGAGTTCAAAGCCAGCTTCAGCAAAAGGGAGGCCCTAAGCCACTCGGTGAGACCCTGTCTCTAAATAAACTGCAAAACAGGGCTGGGGATGGGGCTTGGTGGCCGAGTGCCCCTGAGTTCACTCTCCAATACAAAAAAAAAAGAAACAAGAAGAAGGAGCAGCCAGACAGAAAGGGTTCTGTACTGTATGATATATAGGAAATATCTAAAATAGGTAAATCCATAGAGAATGCAATTAAGTAAAATTGAGATGACATAGGAAAAGGGTCTGGCAGGTAGATGGTGTATTGTTTCACCTTTCAGATAAAATAACCATTGCTTTTACTACTTTCTCTAGAAAGTGAAAATCTCCATCACGCCCTGGAAGGTAACACAGAAGGAGAAGGAGGTGACCAAAAAAAATAGTCTGAGGTATGGTAGCGAAGGCCAGCTCAACAATCAGCCCCTCCTGAACCAGGTGGCTGGATGCAGCTGTTGGATCTTCTTTTTTTTTATTTTTTTTTTTTCCTTTAATAATGTTTCTTGGGGTTACTTAGCTCTTGGAGTGTTTTGCGCAAGCTGAAGCTTTGGAAAAAAAAAAATTCACTGTGTGAGTCCTGGTCTCTCCTTTCTATGACCCTGAGGTACTTGGTGTGTCCAGTGGTCAGTCCCCAATGTGTGCCCCAGGCAGTGCTGAACAATGACATGAAGAAGCACTGTCACCAGAGAGAACCCAGGGACCTCATCTAGAGAACAGAGTTGGTTTCAATGTTGAGCCTCTTTTTTTTTTTTTTTGGTACTGGGGATTGAAACTAGGGATGCTTTACCACTGAGCCACCATCCTTTTTTTTTTTAATTATTTACTTCATTTTATTATTTATTTTTTATTATCAATTTTATTATTTTTATTTGAGCAACTTGCTAAATTGCTGAGGCTCACCTTGACCTTGCCATCCTCCTGCCTCAGCCTCCCAGGTGGCTAGGATTACAGGTATGCACGGTGCCCAGCCAGAGCCTCCTTATCCCTGTGGTTAGCAGGTAGCTGGGGTGAGAAATCAAAGGATTCTCAGTTCAGAATTCTACAAAGCTGAGCAACATTGCCATCTGTTGGTGCTATTTCAGTGACTAATTTTCTTTATTACAGGTAAAACCTATAGATATGGTACTTTGGTTTTGTAGGAGTGGGGAATTTGTAGCCTCATAACATGAAATGGAAAAAAATATAAAGCAAGCCACCTCCAGACCAGAGAGTGGCCCCTAAAAGAGGGAATGGGGACCTTCTGAAGCCTTGAAAATCCAGCAGTGCAGCCTTAAGAGAAATTAGCATGAAATATCATGAAAACATTCTAATACTATCAGTTCTTATTTTAGCTGATTTTGTAATGACACAATTTTTACCTTCTTCCCATTTTGCATATTGATGAAAACAATCCTTGTCTTCTCCTTTATCTCTAAAGATGGTGAATGGCTAACCTAGATGCTGGCACACCCTGCCTATGGTGGGTCTTCACCCGTGCACTGACCCAGGGGTTGAATGCACAGCTTTGCAGACAAACCTGGGTATGAACCCCAGTTCTGTCACTATGTGACATTGGGCAAGTATCTTCATGTGCAAAAGGGACATTATGTTGGTTCCTGGAAGATGGGAAATTAGACTAGAGAAACTGACACCTAAAACAGAGTGTGAAGGAGGGGAGGTTGGAATACAAACACTCCTCCACTTAAGATGGGATTTTACGTCTAAACCCACCATCGCCAGGTAAGGAGATGCACACCTGTAATCCCAGCCTCCGGGAGGCTGAGGCTGGAGGATCCCCTCGACTACAGTAAGCTGAAATAGACTTTTTAAAGAAAACCACACACCTTTTTATTAACTCTAGTTAGATGCATTTGGAAATCCTCAGGACCAATTAAAGACAGTGACCCCTGAAGTCCTGTCCCCTCCACCCTCACACACAGCCCTCAGCACAAAGCACCTCAGAAGGAGGGCTTGCTCCTTGGTCAGGATGGTCAACTGCATAGAAGCCATGCTTTTCTATTGCCCGGTAGAGGATGATGTACTTGGAGGCCAACCTTGTCCTTGGGATCACATATTTCTCCGTGAATTCATTCTTGTCCAGTTGCTCCTTGCCTTCTGTGGTCAGGATGCAGTTAATGAATGAGAGGGTGTAGCTGTAGCAGTTGTGGTGGTCTTCATCATACCTTTCAGGAGAGGGATACAGAGAAGAAAAGCTGAGCTGTGTGTTTGTATGCATGCATTTATTTATTTAAGATATGGCCCAGGATGGCGGTGCATACCCGCCATCCCAGTGACTTGGGAGGCTGTAGCAGAAGGATCAGAAGTTCAAGACCAGCCTCAGCAACTTCGCGAGACCCTGTCTCAGAATAAAAAATAAAAAGGGCTAGGGATGTGGCTTAGTGGTAAAGCACCTCTGAGTTCAATCCCCAGTACCAAAAAGAGAGAGAGACAGAGTCTCTCTCTGCTGCCCAGGCTGGCATTGAACTGAGCTCAAGAGATCCTCCTGCTACAGCCTCCCCAGGAGCTGGGACTATTGGTGCACCCCGCAGCACCAGCCCCTGAGAGGCTGAACTTTAAAAGCTTCTAAGGAACAGGTCGTGAAGCTATGGAAGGACTTTCATAATTGAAATCTGTTTCCTCAGGGGACAGGGCCCCTTTATGTGCTGACCCACTTACTTTTTTTTTTTTTTTTTTTTTTGTATGTGGTGCTGAGAATCGAACCCGGGCCGCACGCATGCCAGGGGTGCACTCGACCGCTTGAGCCACATCCCCAGCCCCTGACCCACTTACTTATGAAGCCTCCAGAGGTACAATTCTGGGGGACAAGGGTACCTTGGGCTACATCTGCATATTAACCAAAAGACAGGTAGGAGTAGGCTCACCCAAGCGTTCAGGACTTAGGTGCCTATAAACTGCCAACCTGGAGAACTTTATTTGAATGAGAGTCTAGATTTTAGAAGTGAAATTCCATACCTAAGTTTTATGATAGCCCACAGGATCAAAACTCATTGCAAAGGAAACTGCGGAAACATTGACATTCACAAGTATACCATCCATCTTCTAAAAGGGTGAGGGAGAAAGGAATTGAGAAATCAATTTCAAAATTGCAGGGATCACACCTGCATGCAGAATGTGGTCTTCGTAGCCACCCACCTGTGTGGCAGCCAGGCCCCGGTGGCTGAGAAGTCTTCCAGGTACCTGTCCCACTGGTCTCTCAGTCCGAACATGTTGGGCTGCACTAACGGGACACTTAGACTCTGCTCCCACCCGGCCTGGTCTCGCTGGACACCGAGTTGGTTGTAATTATACACGACGCCTGCAAACCAAAGTCACACAGAGCCCAGGGAAAAACTCATGTCCGTTAAAAGGCACCTCAGACAAGAGCAGCAGCCACCTCAGAAACTTGCCCTTTGGTGAATGCAGGCTCCACTTTCCTGTTACTGTCAGAGAACAAGAGAGAGACTCTAGAATAAGTATGGGAAGCAGCAATCCATCGAGTGAGATTTAGATAGGAAATTTAGATGTTTTAGTGTCTAAAATAATTTGTTGGTCTTTTTAGTACTTGAGATCAAACCCAGGGATGCTCTACCACTAAGCTACACCCCCTGCAAGTCTTTTTTTTAAAATGAGAGAAGTTCTCATAAGTTGCTGAGGGCCTCGCTAAGTTGCTGAGGCTAGTATCCAACTTCCCATCCTCCTGCCTCAGCCTCCCAAGGGGCTGGGATTCCCCGTGTGTGCCACCATGCCTGGCTCAAAATAAAAATTTTAAAACGGGCTCTGGAGGGGTGTAGCTCAGTGATTGTTCTGGTTTGGATGTGAGGTGTCCCCCAAAAGCTCACGTGTGAGACAATGCAAGAAGGTTTGGAGGAGAGATGATTGGGTTATAGCCTGACCCTAATCAGTGAATTGATCCCTGGTGGGGTGAACTGAGTGGTAACTGGAGGCAGGTGGGGGGAGGCTGGAGGAAGGGGTTTGCTCAGGGCGTGGCTATGGGGTATATATATTTTGTGTCTGGAGCGTGGAGTCTCAAGTCTCTCTGTTTCCTGATCCACACGTGAGCTGCTTCCCTGTGCCACACTCTTCTGCCATGATATCCTGCCTCACTGGAGCCCTGAGGAATGGAGCCCGCCTTCTATGAACTAAGACCTCTGAAACCGTGAGCCCTCAGATAAACCTTTCCTCCACTACAGTTGTCCTGGTCGGATCCTTTTAGTCACAGCAGGGAGAAAAGTTGACTTAAAACAGTGGTATGGGACTGGGGATGTGGCTCAAGCGGTAGCGCGCTCCCCTGGCATGCGTGCGGCCCGGGTTCGATCCTCAGCACCACATACCAACAAAGATGTTGTGTCCGCCGAAAACTAAAAAATAAATAAAATAATAAATAAAATAATAAATAAAATAATTTAAAAAAAAAAAAAAACAGTGGTATGGTGTTTGCCTAGCGTGCAAGAGTTGGGGTTCAGTCCCCAGTTCTGCAAACAAACAAAAACCAATTCTAGTTTGGGTTCATGTTATCAGTTTCCTCTTCCTCCAACAGGAAAAACCAACCAGAGAGGCCAGAACTAAGAGCCCCACCTGCTCCCAGGGTCCAGGCCCTTCTGCAGAGGAGACCGATTCTGGTCTCTGAGTTACAAACTCTGCACCTTCAGAACTCCATCCAGCCAAAGGAACATTGTGTAATCGCCATATACTTTTAAAATTTTTTTTGCAATGCTGGGGATGGAACCCAGGGCCTCCTGCATGCTGGGCAAGCACTGTACCAGGGAGCTACCCCCACAGCTTACCTTAAAAAAAAAAATGTTAAGCAAAGTACTGCAGGTCCTCCCACACCCTCAGATGTTCTAACCTTCAGCTTGATTCCTGAATCCCCCGAGGTGCTGGGACCCAGTGGCAGTAGGTTGAATATAGGATTGGGAAATCGAGGAATATGGGTCCAATGGTTTAGACTCGACATGTGGAGGTCTTGGGCAACTCCACTTCTCAGAAAGTCTGTTTTTTCCTCTCTAAAAGTCAGTGGGAAAATGTGCAGGTTTGCGGGGGTCTTCATTGAGAAAAACACTGAAGAGGTGGCTCCGTGGTCATGTTGTGGGAAACAGACTGGCTGAGAGGCAGCAAGCAGCGCTTGGAGAGGAGGAGGAGAACGCCAAGCGTCATTTCACCCTGGTGGGCCCAGAGAAGAACAAACTCCAAATTCTGAGCCCCGATCCACCATTTTCACAGCTTTTCTAGATTATTTGGCGTCATCTTAGACCCATTCTATCACTGGACGCTTTTTTTTCCCCCTCTTTTAAAAAGAATTCCTAGCCAGTGTGGTGGCGCACGCCTGTAATCCCAGCAGCTCAGGAGGCTGAGGCAGGAGGATCTCCGTTCAAAGCCAACCTCAGCAATTTAGCAAGGCACTTAGCAACTCAGCGAGACCCTGTCTCTAAATAAAATATCAAAAAGGGCTGGGGATGTGGCTGAGTTGAGTGCACCTGAGTTCAATCCTCAGTACCAGGAAAAAAAAAATTCCTAATCTACGTGGCTGAAGGCCTGTGCAAGGTCTCTTAATAAAGCATGCTCACAGAAATGGATAAGAAGAAATGGCTCTTTTTACAGGCATCTGTTAAATCTCTAGCCTTGAAAGCCTGGCACAGGGGTGTTTCCCTATCAAGAGGGAACAGTCACATTCCCCGTGCAGTGTTTTACTGTCCAAAAGGTGGGGACCATAGTTAATTAGGCTTCCTGAAGAAAGGCTGAGAGAAGAGAGAATTGACTTTCCCTCACGTTTCTAACCATAAGGTTTTGTTTAATATTTTTTAGTCGTAGTTGTCGATGGACCTTTATTTTTTTATGCGGTGCTGACAATCAAACCCAGGGCCTCACACATGCTAGGCAGGGGCTCTACCGCCAATCCCCAACCCCAGCCCCCACCATAACATTTTAATTTCTTTTCACAACCAGGTCTAGTTTTGCCGCCATCGTAGAGCACTCACCTAATATGCGCAATGCCCTGGGTTCCATATCTGGCACTGTGAGCGGGGGGAAGCTTCCAGATATTTAGTATGTGAGTAGTAATAACTCGCCATAGAGTCGAGTGTTTCTATTTTATTTTTTTGCAGGGGCTGGGGTAGCTGTTCCTACCTCATGGTGGAACAGCGGGATCACTAGTTAAACGTTGCTATAATTACATCTTTTCTAGAACTACCATTCTCCTCCAACTGGGTGTGGTGGCATGTTTGTTTGTTTTTTTAACTAAAAAAAGTATGCAAATACACTCACCATTTGTGTTAGTGATTCCAACATGGAGATCAGACTTGCCATCATACTCCCTGAAAAGAAACACTTGTTATTATTATAATTATTATTTATTTACTTCTTTTAATGCTGAGTATTGAACCCAGTGGCTCCACCACTGAGCTGCATCCCCAGCCCATCTTATTTTTATTTTATTTTTTTTACTTTGAGACAGGGTTTTGCTAAGTTGCTGCAGCTGGCCTCAAACTTGGGATCCTCCTGCCTCAACCTCCCAAGTTACTTGGATGACAGGCGTGCACCACCATGCCCTGCAAGTTCTCATATGAAATATCTAGTCCCTCTCTGTATTTAGAAGTAGAAGTGGTAGGAAAAAAAAATTTTTTTTTTTGTAAATATCTTTTTAAAACTGACGGGAAATAGCATTTGGAAATGTTAACCCACCTCTGAATGGTATACTGTAGGCACTTGCTCACTGGGCTGAGGGAGGCAGAAGGAAAGACGTTACACAGATGTTTTGTTAGCACATACTAGAAAATCCTAGCTTACTCATTGCCGTGTATGTTCTGTGTATTTTGTCCAACTTTGCTGCACTGTATACATTATGCATCTACTGGAGGAAGGAGACTTAATTCTATAATACCTACACTCCAGATATTAAAGCAGTTGCCAGTGTATGACATTAGTAGTTGGTAAACTAACACATTCTGTACACTTTGTGTTAAGATTCATAGAAAGGCAGTCTTTAGAAAAGGACTTTTGAAAGGAAATGGTAACAGTGCCTCCGAGAGACACCTGAGACAGGAGGAGGAGGAATTGGAAGAAATGGAGGATTCTAGGCTGGAATGCCCCCACTTAGAAGATGCTTTCAGATAGAACCATCTTCACGTGTGAGTAGTTTACTGGGCTCTACTGTGGACATTGTGGACACACCTAAGTCCTTATTGGAAACATCTAGTCTTTCTAGATCTTTTTATTTACTACCTCTACTTTGTTAAAAGTAGAGGTAGTAAATAAAGCATTTGGTAGATTAAAAAGGAAGAAAGAGAAGGAGGGAAGAAGCAGCTTATGATAGAGGTCCTCCCCCTCTCATGTGTCACCTTAAGATAAAGGACCAGGGACTGTAGCACACACTCCTGAGGCAGGAGGATTGCAAGTGTGGGGCCAGCCTCAGCAAGTTAGCAAGGCCCTGTCTCAAAATAAAATTTGAAAAAGGGCTGGGGCTGTAGCTCAGTGGTAAAGCACCCTTGGGTTCAATTCCCTATCCCCCCCCCCAAAAAAAAAGTATATAAACAAACATAAAAATGCATGGGGTTGTGGCAGAGGTAAAGTGCTTGTCTATCAGGTGCAAGGCCCAGGGTTCGATCCTCAGCACCACATATAAATAAATAAAATAAAGGTATTGTGTCAACTACAACTAAAAAATAAATATTAAAAAAATGCATGGGGTTGGGGGGGGTATAAAGGTGCTTAGCAGGAGCTTAGCATACGAGGATGCTTGAATTCAATCCTTAGCACCAAGGGGTGAGCTTAGGGCCAGTCTGAAATTCGGTCATGCATTGTGTCATTTCAGGAGAGCAGGTCTGTGGCATCCCTAGGAGAGCTCTTCAGTAAGGATTTGTTTCATGGGCCAATGTTATGAGAAGGAAATCCTGAATTCTGGCCCCTTGATTCAAAAGCTTTTGGAATCCAACCAGTTAATGACTCAGAGGCGGCTCTTATGAAAGAGCTGGGCCTCTGTGGTTCTGCTTAAGGTGGAAGCGAAGGTCCTGCCAGGCTGGGGAGCCACAGTCTGAGCTGAACGTGAATTTTGGAATAGAAGGAGCACAGGGTTGAAGCCTCATTATTGACACTTGGGCCAGGCTTATGTGCCTGATCCCTGGACCTCACCACCTGCAAAGTTGGAGCCATCCTCCTTTGATAGCTGAGGGATTAGAGACTTGGAGAGGGTTCCCAGAGCTGGTTAGTAAAAGAACCAGGATAAGAGAGAGGGCTTCCTCACCCCAGAGCCTGAACATCCTTCCTAAATAAAGTGCATGCTATCATTCAATAACATGCATGCCACTTTAAAAACCTGGTTTATACAGGGTCATTTTCAATTCTATTTGTAAACTCCACAGGAACAGTTGAGACATGTTTTCTTTTTGATTTCTGCATTCATTCTTTTTTTTTGGGGGGGGGGCACTCAACCACTGAGCCACCTTGCCAGACCTATTTTGTATTTTATTTAGAGACAGGATCTCACTGAGTTGCTCAGCACCTCGCCATTGCTGAGGCTGGCTTTGAATTTGCGATCCCTGCTGTCTCAGCCTCTAGCTGCTGGGATTGCATTCATTCTAAAAGCCAGGGAGCAGCCACAATGAAATTTTTTGGGGGAAGAGGGTACTGGGGATAAAGTACAGGGAAGGTTTACCACTGAGCTACATCCTTTTTTTTTTTTAATACCATAGACTGTGTGGTTTTTTTTTTTAAAAGAGAATGAGAATTTTAATATTTATTTTTTAGTTTTTGGCAGACACAACATCTTTGTATGTGGTGCTGAGGATCGAACCCGGGCCGCCCGCATGCCAGGCGAGCGCCCTACCACTTGAGCCACATCCCCAGCCCAACTGGGTGGTTTTTTAATATTTATTTTTTAGCTATAGGTGGACACAATATTTTATCTTTATGTGGTGGTGAGGATCGAACCCACTGCCTCATGCATGCTAGGTGAGTGCTCTGCCTCTGAGCCACAATCCCAGCCCCATCCTCAGTCTTTTTATCTATTTCTTTCTTTCCTCTATTTCTCCTTGAGACAGGGTCTCTAAATTGTTGAGGCTGGCCTTGAACTTGCAATCCTGCTTTAGCCTCTCAAATCGCTGGGATTAAAAGGTACTATCTTGATAGGATTGGCAGCTGGGTTATTTTCCCAGTTAGCCTCTTAGCAGATACTTTTCTCTCCTAAAATTGTTTGAGCAGGTGTGTCCTTCCTATATTGTGCACATATTATTTTTTTAAAAAAATATTTATTTTAGTTGTTGTTGGACCTTTATTTGTTTATTTAACGCTCCAACACAAAGCCATATACCCCCAATGACCCCCACACACCAAATGGATTTTTATTTTTTGACTTTCTTTTTTTTTGGTACCAGGGATTGACTTTGGGGGGCACTTGACCACTGAGCCACATTCCCAGCCCTATTTTTTTTTTTTTTTTAGAGATGGGGTTTCACTGAGTTGCTTAGCACCTTGCTTTTTGCTGAGGCTGGCTTTGAAATTGTGATCCTCCTGCCTCAGCCTCCCGAACCACTGGAATTACAGGTGTGTGCCACTGTACCCAGCTGACATTTAAAATTTATTTATTTATTTACTTAGTTGTTGATGGACCTTTGGTTTGCTTATTTATATGTGGTGCTGAGGATCGAATCCAGTGCCTCACCCATGCTAGGCAAGCGCTCTACCACTGAGCCACAAGACAAGTAGGTCTACACATCAGGATTTTTTTTTTTTTTAAAGAGAGTGAGAGAGGAGAGAGAGAGAGATTTTTTTTTATTTTTATTTTTTTTTAATATTTATTTTTTAGTTTTCGGCGGACACAACATCTTTGTTGGTATGTGGTGCTGAGGATCGAACCCAGGCCGCACACATGCCAGGCGAGCGCGCTACCGCTTGAGCCACATCCCCAGCTCCCTAATATTACACTTTTTATATTCAATGTGCCATGATACCTGAGGGCTATATTCAGGTTNAGCGCGCTCCCCTGGCATGCGTGCGGCCCGGGTTCGATCCTCAGCACCACATACCAACAAAGATGTTGTGTCCGCCGAAAACTAAAAAATAAATAAAATAATAAATAAAATAATAAATAAAATAATTTAAAAAAAAAAAAAAACAGTGGTATGGTGTTTGCCTAGCGTGCAAGAGTTGGGGTTCAGTCCCCAGTTCTGCAAACAAACAAAAACCAATTCTAGTTTGGGTTCATGTTATCAGTTTCCTCTTCCTCCAACAGGAAAAACCAACCAGAGAGGCCAGAACTAAGAGCCCCACCTGCTCCCAGGGTCCAGGCCCTTCTGCAGAGGAGACCGATTCTGGTCTCTGAGTTACAAACTCTGCACCTTCAGAACTCCATCCAGCCAAAGGAACATTGTGTAATCGCCATATACTTTTAAAATTTTTTTTGCAATGCTGGGGATGGAACCCAGGGCCTCCTGCATGCTGGGCAAGCACTGTACCAGGGAGCTACCCCCACAGCTTACCTTAAAAAAAAAAATGTTAAGCAAAGTACTGCAGGTCCTCCCACACCCTCAGATGTTCTAACCTTCAGCTTGATTCCTGAATCCCCCGAGGTGCTGGGACCCAGTGGCAGTAGGTTGAATATAGGATTGGGAAATCGAGGAATATGGGTCCAATGGTTTAGACTCGACATGTGGAGGTCTTGGGCAACTCCACTTCTCAGAAAGTCTGTTTTTTCCTCTCTAAAAGTCAGTGGGAAAATGTGCAGGTTTGCGGGGGTCTTCATTGAGAAAAACACTGAAGAGGTGGCTCCGTGGTCATGTTGTGGGAAACAGACTGGCTGAGAGGCAGCAAGCAGCGCTTGGAGAGGAGGAGGAGAACGCCAAGCGTCATTTCACCCTGGTGGGCCCAGAGAAGAACAAACTCCAAATTCTGAGCCCCGATCCACCATTTTCACAGCTTTTCTAGATTATTTGGCGTCATCTTAGACCCATTCTATCACTGGACGCTTTTTTTTCCCCCTCTTTTAAAAAGAATTCCTAGCCAGTGTGGTGGCGCACGCCTGTAATCCCAGCAGCTCAGGAGGCTGAGGCAGGAGGATCTCCGTTCAAAGCCAACCTCAGCAATTTAGCAAGGCACTTAGCAACTCAGCGAGACCCTGTCTCTAAATAAAATATCAAAAAGGGCTGGGGATGTGGCTGAGTTGAGTGCACCTGAGTTCAATCCTCAGTACCAGGAAAAAAAAAATTCCTAATCTACGTGGCTGAAGGCCTGTGCAAGGTCTCTTAATAAAGCATGCTCACAGAAATGGATAAGAAGAAATGGCTCTTTTTACAGGCATCTGTTAAATCTCTAGCCTTGAAAGCCTGGCACAGGGGTGTTTCCCTATCAAGAGGGAACAGTCACATTCCCCGTGCAGTGTTTTACTGTCCAAAAGGTGGGGACCATAGTTAATTAGGCTTCCTGAAGAAAGGCTGAGAGAAGAGAGAATTGACTTTCCCTCACGTTTCTAACCATAAGGTTTTGTTTAATATTTTTTAGTCGTAGTTGTCGATGGACCTTTATTTTTTTATGCGGTGCTGACAATCAAACCCAGGGCCTCACACATGCTAGGCAGGGGCTCTACCGCCAATCCCCAACCCCAGCCCCCACCATAACATTTTAATTTCTTTTCACAACCAGGTCTAGTTTTGCCGCCATCGTAGAGCACTCACCTAATATGCGCAATGCCCTGGGTTCCATATCTGGCACTGTGAGCGGGGGGAAGCTTCCAGATATTTAGTATGTGAGTAGTAATAACTCGCCATAGAGTCGAGTGTTTCTATTTTATTTTTTTGCAGGGGCTGGGGTAGCTGTTCCTACCTCATGGTGGAACAGCGGGATCACTAGTTAAACGTTGCTATAATTACATCTTTTCTAGAACTACCATTCTCCTCCAACTGGGTGTGGTGGCATGTTTGTTTGTTTTTTTAACTAAAAAAAGTATGCAAATACACTCACCATTTGTGTTAGTGATTCCAACATGGAGATCAGACTTGCCATCATACTCCCTGAAAAGAAACACTTGTTATTATTATAATTATTATTTATTTACTTCTTTTAATGCTGAGTATTGAACCCAGTGGCTCCACCACTGAGCTGCATCCCCAGCCCATCTTATTTTTATTTTATTTTTTTTACTTTGAGACAGGGTTTTGCTAAGTTGCTGCAGCTGGCCTCAAACTTGGGATCCTCCTGCCTCAACCTCCCAAGTTACTTGGATGACAGGCGTGCACCACCATGCCCTGCAAGTTCTCATATGAAATATCTAGTCCCTCTCTGTATTTAGAAGTAGAAGTGGTAGGAAAAAAAAATTTTTTTTTTTGTAAATATCTTTTTAAAACTGACGGGAAATAGCATTTGGAAATGTTAACCCACCTCTGAATGGTATACTGTAGGCACTTGCTCACTGGGCTGAGGGAGGCAGAAGGAAAGACGTTACACAGATGTTTTGTTAGCACATACTAGAAAATCCTAGCTTACTCATTGCCGTGTATGTTCTGTGTATTTTGTCCAACTTTGCTGCACTGTATACATTATGCATCTACTGGAGGAAGGAGACTTAATTCTATAATACCTACACTCCAGATATTAAAGCAGTTGCCAGTGTATGACATTAGTAGTTGGTAAACTAACACATTCTGTACACTTTGTGTTAAGATTCATAGAAAGGCAGTCTTTAGAAAAGGACTTTTGAAAGGAAATGGTAACAGTGCCTCCGAGAGACACCTGAGACAGGAGGAGGAGGAATTGGAAGAAATGGAGGATTCTAGGCTGGAATGCCCCCACTTAGAAGATGCTTTCAGATAGAACCATCTTCACGTGTGAGTAGTTTACTGGGCTCTACTGTGGACATTGTGGACACACCTAAGTCCTTATTGGAAACATCTAGTCTTTCTAGATCTTTTTATTTACTACCTCTACTTTGTTAAAAGTAGAGGTAGTAAATAAAGCATTTGGTAGATTAAAAAGGAAGAAAGAGAAGGAGGGAAGAAGCAGCTTATGATAGAGGTCCTCCCCCTCTCATGTGTCACCTTAAGATAAAGGACCAGGGACTGTAGCACACACTCCTGAGGCAGGAGGATTGCAAGTGTGGGGCCAGCCTCAGCAAGTTAGCAAGGCCCTGTCTCAAAATAAAATTTGAAAAAGGGCTGGGGCTGTAGCTCAGTGGTAAAGCACCCTTGGGTTCAATTCCCTATCCCCCCCCCCAAAAAAAAAGTATATAAACAAACATAAAAATGCATGGGGTTGTGGCAGAGGTAAAGTGCTTGTCTATCAGGTGCAAGGCCCAGGGTTCGATCCTCAGCACCACATATAAATAAATAAAATAAAGGTATTGTGTCAACTACAACTAAAAAATAAATATTAAAAAAATGCATGGGGTTGGGGGGGGTATAAAGGTGCTTAGCAGGAGCTTAGCATACGAGGATGCTTGAATTCAATCCTTAGCACCAAGGGGTGAGCTTAGGGCCAGTCTGAAATTCGGTCATGCATTGTGTCATTTCAGGAGAGCAGGTCTGTGGCATCCCTAGGAGAGCTCTTCAGTAAGGATTTGTTTCATGGGCCAATGTTATGAGAAGGAAATCCTGAATTCTGGCCCCTTGATTCAAAAGCTTTTGGAATCCAACCAGTTAATGACTCAGAGGCGGCTCTTATGAAAGAGCTGGGCCTCTGTGGTTCTGCTTAAGGTGGAAGCGAAGGTCCTGCCAGGCTGGGGAGCCACAGTCTGAGCTGAACGTGAATTTTGGAATAGAAGGAGCACAGGGTTGAAGCCTCATTATTGACACTTGGGCCAGGCTTATGTGCCTGATCCCTGGACCTCACCACCTGCAAAGTTGGAGCCATCCTCCTTTGATAGCTGAGGGATTAGAGACTTGGAGAGGGTTCCCAGAGCTGGTTAGTAAAAGAACCAGGATAAGAGAGAGGGCTTCCTCACCCCAGAGCCTGAACATCCTTCCTAAATAAAGTGCATGCTATCATTCAATAACATGCATGCCACTTTAAAAACCTGGTTTATACAGGGTCATTTTCAATTCTATTTGTAAACTCCACAGGAACAGTTGAGACATGTTTTCTTTTTGATTTCTGCATTCATTCTTTTTTTTTGGGGGGGGGGCACTCAACCACTGAGCCACCTTGCCAGACCTATTTTGTATTTTATTTAGAGACAGGATCTCACTGAGTTGCTCAGCACCTCGCCATTGCTGAGGCTGGCTTTGAATTTGCGATCCCTGCTGTCTCAGCCTCTAGCTGCTGGGATTGCATTCATTCTAAAAGCCAGGGAGCAGCCACAATGAAATTTTTTGGGGGAAGAGGGTACTGGGGATAAAGTACAGGGAAGGTTTACCACTGAGCTACATCCTTTTTTTTTTTTAATACCATAGACTGTGTGGTTTTTTTTTTTAAAAGAGAATGAGAATTTTAATATTTATTTTTTAGTTTTTGGCAGACACAACATCTTTGTATGTGGTGCTGAGGATCGAACCCGGGCCGCCCGCATGCCAGGCGAGCGCCCTACCACTTGAGCCACATCCCCAGCCCAACTGGGTGGTTTTTTAATATTTATTTTTTAGCTATAGGTGGACACAATATTTTATCTTTATGTGGTGGTGAGGATCGAACCCACTGCCTCATGCATGCTAGGTGAGTGCTCTGCCTCTGAGCCACAATCCCAGCCCCATCCTCAGTCTTTTTATCTATTTCTTTCTTTCCTCTATTTCTCCTTGAGACAGGGTCTCTAAATTGTTGAGGCTGGCCTTGAACTTGCAATCCTGCTTTAGCCTCTCAAATCGCTGGGATTAAAAGGTACTATCTTGATAGGATTGGCAGCTGGGTTATTTTCCCAGTTAGCCTCTTAGCAGATACTTTTCTCTCCTAAAATTGTTTGAGCAGGTGTGTCCTTCCTATATTGTGCACATATTATTTTTTTAAAAAAATATTTATTTTAGTTGTTGTTGGACCTTTATTTGTTTATTTAACGCTCCAACACAAAGCCATATACCCCCAATGACCCCCACACACCAAATGGATTTTTATTTTTTGACTTTCTTTTTTTTTGGTACCAGGGATTGACTTTGGGGGGCACTTGACCACTGAGCCACATTCCCAGCCCTATTTTTTTTTTTTTTTTAGAGATGGGGTTTCACTGAGTTGCTTAGCACCTTGCTTTTTGCTGAGGCTGGCTTTGAAATTGTGATCCTCCTGCCTCAGCCTCCCGAACCACTGGAATTACAGGTGTGTGCCACTGTACCCAGCTGACATTTAAAATTTATTTATTTATTTACTTAGTTGTTGATGGACCTTTGGTTTGCTTATTTATATGTGGTGCTGAGGATCGAATCCAGTGCCTCACCCATGCTAGGCAAGCGCTCTACCACTGAGCCACAAGACAAGTAGGTCTACACATCAGGATTTTTTTTTTTTTTAAAGAGAGTGAGAGAGGAGAGAGAGAGAGATTTTTTTTTATTTTTATTTTTTTTTAATATTTATTTTTTAGTTTTCGGCGGACACAACATCTTTGTTGGTATGTGGTGCTGAGGATCGAACCCAGGCCGCACACATGCCAGGCGAGCGCCCTACCGCTTGAGCCACATCCCCAGCCCCTACGTATCAGGATTTAAGGTCAAAACACAGGTAAGATCACTCGAGAAACTTCCCGCTGTATAATGCATATTGATAAGAGAAAAGTTTTATTGACACAAACAGAAGGAAAACTTAGCACAATTCAATATGTTTTAAAAAACAACAAAACACCATACCTGAGAAATGTCCCCTGAGTTGGTCGCAGCAGGAAGGAGCATTTTTCTTGATGCCCATCAGTGAATGGATTAGAGATGCTAACAGGTGCTTCCTCCAGTTTCGCAGAGCCCACTTCCTGCTGGCAGAGAGGGCAGCGTCGGGGCACGCTGAAGCTGTAGATGGATTTCTTACAGTGGGTGAATTTAATCAAAGGCTTCCCGGCTTCTGTGCAGTGCATAGCTTTCACCTCCTGGGCTAGCAGGCGAGGTCTCGGAGACTTCTTTTCTGCCACAGCAACCTGATCCACCATGATGTCATCCTGACTGAGCCAGGTAGGATTAACCAGTAACCAGGCTGCCCCATGGGCTGGCTTCTTAAAGAGCTAGTTTTCATTTGTGCTCACTCACAGGCTCCGTGCAGTTTGCAGCTAATGCCAGCCAGCTCCTGTTCATCCTTCAAAGCCCTATTTTTTGGTGCTGAATTTCTCAGCTTTCTTCAGTATTTTGTTGAACTGCAAGCACTGGACTCATATTCCTACCAGAACTCTATTATTTAATTAGAAGTGCTCACTGCAATCCCAGCGACTCTGGAGGCTGAGGCAAGAATATCACAAGGTCAAGGCCAGCCTTAGCAATTTAGTAGGCCTTCAGCAACTCAAAATAAAAAAAAGATTGGGGATTATAGCTCAGTATTAGAGCACCCCAGGTTCAATTTCCAGTACAAAAAGAAAAAGGAAAGAAAAGAAAAAAAAATCGGTCATTGAGTTTTATTACTCCCATTAGTCTTGGGTTTAGAAACTCACCTCTCTATTTTTTTAATTAAAAAAAATTCTACATCTTTTAGATTTTAGTTTTATTTTTTGCATCACTGGGGATCAAATCCAGGGATCTTCTACCACAGAACAACATCTCCAGCCCTTTTTATTTATTAATTTTTCTTGATGATTGGGTCTCACTAAGTTGTTGAGGCTGTTCTTGACCTTGTGATCCTCCTGTCTCAGCCTCCGGAGTCAATGGGATTTCAGGTGTGCACCCCCCACACCTGGCAGTGGTGTGCTTTTTCAACCTTCCTGTCTTTTATTATTTCAGGGAATTTTTCATAAGTTATAAATTTGAGTATTTTTTTGTTTTTTTTCCCCCCCAGGAAATTCTGTTTTCTGTATATTACATTTTTTTTTTGGTTTATCTTCACCATTACTTACCTGCTGTGTTTTAAATTGAGATCAAATTTATATACTATGAAATTCACCCATTTAGTGTACAATCCAGTGGTTCTGAGAAAATTCACAAGGCTGTGCAACTATTACCACTAAGTTTAAAACATTTTCATTACCCCAAATAAGAAACCTCAAACCCCAAACTATTCACAGTCCTGACCCACTTCCCTTCCCACCAGCCCCCGCACCAATTTTTGTTTATGATTTTCATATAAAGGGACTCGTACGGTATAGGATCTTCTGCATCTGGCTGCTTCTACTTAGCCTAAGTTATCAAAATTCACCTAGCTCATAGTATGTCTTCGTTATTCATTCAGTTTTATGACTAAATAATATTCCATTGTATGGAATGTATTTTGAATATGGATGTTTGGGTTGTTTCAACTTTGGGCTATTGTGAATAATTCTGTGAATAAGTTTCACCATTTTCACGTGAAAGCTGGTTATTTTTGTTTGCAGTACTGGGGATTAAATCCAGGGGTGCTCTACCACTGAGCCACAACCTTAGCTTTTTATCTTGAGACAGGATCTCACTAAGTTGCCCAGACTGGCCTTGAACTTACAGTCCTTCTGCCTCAGCCTCTTGAGTTGAGGGGATTCCAGGCATGAGCCGTTGCACCTGTCTCATGTGCAGATTTTTATGTGACTGTGAAGAATACCTGTAGAGAACCTGGGAAGAGGTGAGTAAAGGACAGACACACGCACACAGGTGGCTGTTCCTCTCTGCTGCCTTGTTTATTAACCTAAGAAAGGCTACATATTACCCATCACATGTCTGCATTCTAACCAGCACTCCTTTAACCCCGAGTGCTGGCTAGCTGAGAGAAAGTCCAGGTTCACACAAACACAGAGCCCCTTTCCTCCAAGGATGTTACCGTGGAAACCAGATAGCGCACCTGCATAGTTATCCTAATAGCTTCAAGGGGAAACTGCTGGGCATTCCAAGCCTGGGTAACTCGTTAAGAACATTGCTATAGCATCCGGGCATCCCATGCTTTTGCAGTATCCAGGTATTCTGTGTCTTGCACAGAAACTTTCTAGTTACCATCATGTCACAGTCACGAATTTTGTCAGAGACCCCAATCCCAAACACAGATCTCCCACAGCTATATCTTTTGGTTACATAGGTAGGAGGGGAATTTCTGAGTTACATGGTAACCTTTAAACACTTTGAGAAACTGCTAGACCTTTTTCCCCAAGTGCCCACATCATTTTCCATAATTTATGAGAGTTCCAACTCCTCCACATTGCCTACGCTGGCCTGGATTTACTTTAGCCATCTGAGTGGTTGTGAAGTTGTATCTTATTGCATTTCCCTAAAGAAATGTTTTTATGTGCTTATTGCCAGTTCATATATCTTTGTTAGGGAAATGTCTATTTAAATCTTTCACACACTTTCTAATTGGGTTATTATTATTTTTTTTGGCAGTACTAGGGATTGAAATCTGCAATCCCCACACCTGAGTGCTCTACTACTGGGGGCTATGTCCTCTGCCCTTTTTATTATTTTATTTTGAGAGAGGGACTCACTATGTTGCCCAGGCTGACCTCCAACTTACATCCTCCTGCCTCAGCCTCCTGTCCACAGTGCACAATGTTTTTTTTTTTTTTCTTAAATAGATGCAAAAGAAAAAGCATTAGATAGAAATAAGGACATTTTAATGATAAAAATGCTAAGAAAACTAGGATTAGAAAGACATTTCCTTAATTTGATAATGGATACTTAAAGTCTGAGGCTAATATTTTAGTTAATGGTGTTAATATTAAATATATAAAATAATTAATGAGGCTAATATTTTAATATACTTTCCTTAAATTGAGGAACAAAACCAAACGTACATTATTTACACTTCTTTTTTTCCACTATACTGAATTATAATGAAGTAAAACTGTCATTGTTTGCTGATGGCTTAATATATTTTTTGGTACTAGTGATTTGAACCAAGGGCATTCTATTTCTGAGCTATCAGCCCTTTTTATTTACATTAAAAATTTTTTTTAGCTGTATGGACACAATACCTTTCTTTTTATGCAGTGCTGAGGATCCAACCCACTGCCTGACACATTGAGCCACACCTCCAGCCCAGCCCTTTTTATTTTTTGTTTTTCAGACAAGGTCTGACTAAGTTGCTCAGATTGGCCTCAAATTTGGGGTCCTCCTGCTGAAGTCTCCCTAGTAGCTAGGATTACAGGCGTGCACCACCGCAATCACTTGAGCCCAGTTTTTCTTAAAGTAAAAAAAAGAAAAAAGAAAAAAAAAGAAATTTACAAAGCGACAGGAAATCACTGAAAGATGGAAGGCAAAGAACATGATGTCATATAGGTTTTAAAAATAGATTTGGCGCCGTGGCCAACGCCTGTAATCCCAGCGAGTCTGGAGGCTGAGGCAGGCAGCTCCAAGCTAAAATTCAAATTAATTCAGTGTTTCTGGTTCTTTGTTTCCTATGATGCCCTGATGCCATCAGCAATTTAGCGAAACCCAGTCTCTAAATAAATAATAAAAAAAGCGCTGAGGATGTGGCCCAATGGTTAAGCACCCTTGGGGTCAATCAAACCAAAAATAATTAATAGTGATAATACAATAGATCATTTTGGAAAACAGACTAGGAGACCCGTGGCGAGGCGGTTGCCCGGGCCCAGGATGGGACCCTGACGGCGGATTTGGGGGAGACGGGGATGCACTGGGCGCAGAAGCGGGATCTGCAGGAGCTGGAGCTGGGTCGAGGCTAACTCTGGGGGTTCCCCTAAGAGGAAATGGAAGACGCAGTGCAGGGGGGGTTCCAGCAAAGAGATCGGGGACTGAAACTCTGGGGGAGTAGAGTTTTGACAAAGGGTGTCTGGAGAGGGGCGAGGGGTGTTCGTGGGCGCGGGCTCGAGGCTTCTAAGGAGCCCCGATGAGGTGCAGCTGCAGCATTTGGGGATACAGTGCTCAGGCCCGAGCCGGCGGGGGGGGGGGAGGATGAGGTGACTTAGGGGATGCAAGAGGCCACTAAGGATCATTCTTGGCGACGGGAGCAGAACCCTAGAAACTAACTGTCCCGGAAGCGACTGGCAGATCTAGGGCGCCTTCAGGATCCGCCCGGGAGGCTCGGAAGAGCGGCCACGGAGCGCCGCGAGGTGTGGGGCACTGCCGGGCCTCACACCCGTCGCGGAACCAATTGTGACGGCGGCTAGGTTTCCGGCCGGCGCTACAAAGGTGCAGCACGTGCGGGGGCGGAGTGCGCCGACGTGACGCGGCTGCGCAGGATGGGCCGAGCCGAGGCCGAGGCGGCAGCGGGAGGCAGCAGCGCGACGACGGCCCCCCAGCCCAGCCACCATGAGCACCAAGCAGGTCACTTGCAGGTGAGTGAGCGACGACCGAGAGCGCCGCGCCACTTCGGGCCGCTCTCGAGAATCCTTGGGAGCCGGAGGACCCCCGGGTCGTGACGCCTGGGACTCGGGGAAAGTTCCTCAGCTGTTCGCTCTGAGGCTTTCGAGGGCGGGGCGGGCGCTGAAGCCCCAGCCGGGTCCGGCGGGTGCGTGGCTGAGGCGCCGCTGTGCGAGTGGGAAGCCGGGTCCCTGTGGGCTGGGAGGACGGACGCGCCAACCCGGGCCCGGCCGCGGGAGCTCGTGGAGCTTGCAGTTCGGCTGGAGGGAAAAAAAAAAAAATTGGTGTTGAGTGAAGGACGCTACGGGCGCCGGTGCCACGCAGGAGTAGCTTGTTAATGGATTCTCGGGGCCTCGGGAAGCTGGGGCTCTGGAAGCCGCCTTCCCTTCGCAAGTTTGAAGACTGCAGCTGCAACTGCTTGCAGAGAGTTAGCGAGTTGAGAATCGTGTGGAGAAGGAGAAGGGCGTTCCAGCCCTCCTTGTGGAAAAACGAGAATCGTGTGGAAAATAACGAGGCGCCTATTCCCAATTTTTTCTTGTTATTGTGCTTTTCGGAACCGAGAATGGACCCCAGGGCCTTGCACATGCTGAGCAAGGGCTCTACCACTGAGCTACATCCCCACCCCCTTTATATTTTATGACCTATTTATTTTTGATGCTGGGGATTGGATCC